AATGATTGAACCAAATATTTATTAACAGTAAACCCACGCATTTAATAAATATGCATGGGTTTTTCCTATAAAAAGAAAAACATCCAAAAAAGTAGTCGAAGGTTTTAAAAAAGTTTTTAAAGAAAGAATACCAGAATTTATTTTGACGGATAAGGGTACTGAATTTACAGGAAAAGGTACTCTAAAACTATTTAAAGGTTATAACATAAAATGGTTTACCACCAAAAATAAAGAAATCAAGTCGGCAAGCAGAAAATTTTAATAAAATCATCAGACGAAAAATTTAAAAATATTTACACGCAAATAATATGAATACATATTTGGACATATTATCCAAATTAATTTAAAATTATAACAAATCATATCATAGATCTGTAAAAATGACACCTATCGAAGCCAGTAAACCTGAAAATGAAATAAAAGTTTATTATAATATATGCTAATCCATTGCACAAAAGTCCTAGAAGACTTAAATATAAAATAGGAAATCGTTTCAGAATATCGAAATTTAAAACAATTTTTTTCTAAAGGTCCAACTTTTACAGAAGAGATTTTTATTATATCAGATGTTATAAAATCAAAAATACATCCATATGTATACAGTTGTAGAATAAAAGACTTAAATGGTGAAAAAATTGAAGGAATATTTTATGAAAATGAAATGGTCAAATATAATAAAAAAGATGTTTGCAAGTTTGGAAAAAATATTAAAAAAGAAGGGAAATAAATATTTAGTAAAATGGTTAGGATATCCTAATGAATTTAACAGTTTGGTAATTGAACAAGATCTTTTATCTCTAATTAAATGAATGAATATCGATTATATAGAAGTAAAAAAATTAAAAATTTTATATTAACTGATATTATTAATAAATCAGACTGCATGAAATTGGATAAAATATTATGTAAAATAAAAGGCTCAGGATTTAAAAAATTACCTAGGTTTTATTCTTAATAAATGGAAAATTATCGTGACTTAACAAAAAAACTTTTATCATTATGATGATAATATAGAGAGTAAAGAATTCATGGTATTAGAAAAAGCAAATGCAGAATATAGTCAAGTTAGTAAATATGAATTTTTATCCAAAATAAAGAAGCAAGAATATTACTTTCAGAGTCTTATATTCAAATAAAATTTTAAATTCTAAAGAATAATGACAATTCTATAGGTAATGATAATGTTACAGCAAATTGAGGATTAGGCTTATTTACTGGTAAAAAACTGACAATAGGTGGTAAAGCCATTGAACATACTAGTGCTTACTTTTCTATTATACAACAAGTTATAAGACTTGGTGAATATACACATGATTATACAACAACACAACCCACTGATATGTTTTGTAGTTTTGATACGAGTAATCATCCTAATCGAGTAAATTATGTCATTAAAGATGATGGATCCGTAACAGACCAAATGACCGTCACTGAAATAATTAGTAAATTAAAAGCTGAAAAAAATGGAAACTATAACAAAGGATTTGATAAAAGATGGAAAATAACAAAAAATAGTTAATCCATTACAATGTGGCTATCACTAGGTCAAATTTTTGATTTTCTAAAATATTTCAGGAAAGCAATAACAGGTTTCCTATTAAAAATAGAATTTGATAGAGAAAAAAATAATGCAAATATGATATATACGGATGTTGCTAATCCTAATTATGAAATAGAAATTGAAGATTTATCTCTCATTTTAGCTCATGTTAAGTTTAAAAATAATGCAGAAATATTATGTAAGCAATTACTGTTAGCCGACCAGCCTATAGATATTCATTGGAATCGATTAAGTCTAATGTAATTAAAAAAGCACAATTTGGATCATATCCTATACACACTACATCGAAGGAAGTTTTAACATTATATGTTGTTCCCCAATATGCGAAAGGAAATGAAAATTATTAAAAAAATATGGTATTTGATCATTTAGGTATGACCGAGTGTTGGGTTATGATAAATTCAAAAGTCCTACCATCTGAAAAATATAACATGGATTTTTCTAATAAAGAATGGAATAAACTGTATGAAGTTTTTCTAGAAATTATGAATAATAGAAACAGAGAAACAGGGTGTATGATGGATTATTTATCATATGGTAAATTATATCCTATTATCGCTTTTGATCTATCCCATCATGAAAATTATATAACTGTAGGAAACTTAACACTAAATTTTCATTATAAATTAAAACAAGTAATTGCTAAAAACTATATACTTTATTGTTGAAAAAAATAAAACACAATTAAATATGAAAGAACAAAAAGTTATATTAATTGATAATATAGAAGAGTAATAGTTTTTTTAACTCTAATAAATGATTGCTATTTATCTATCTTTTAATGATAAAAGAAAAACTGGTCCACCTGGAGAATGTTTTAAATTAACTAATGATGGAAATTATGATATGGATTATAAAATTTTGAAAAATTGTAAAAATCCTATATATGATCAGGATGTTAGCACAAATATATATGTTTTGAGTGCCTTGGCAAATGTAAGATAAGTTGATTTAAATAAATATAATATTCATAAGAGTTTTTTGAATTTTGTTAATGAAACAGCCAAGAAAATACAATCATTAGATCAAAGTATTAGAAAAGAAATTGATAATTATTTACATTAAAAAAAAAGACGATGTTTTTAATGCAAAAGATAAGCGGATCGGAAATGTGAAAGATCCATTAAATGATAAACATGTATGTAATAAAAGATATTTAGAAAAGAATGCAATAACATTAATGACAAAAGAGAATAATAAAATTATAACAAATGTAGCTAATCCTGTTAATGATATGGATGCTGTTAATAAAAGATATGTAGATAAAGTGTTTCTTTTAACTGTAAATAAATTAGATGACAAAGGTAATATAACATTTAAAAAGGTTAAAAGTTATTATTTTCAGAAGATTTTAAAACTTAATATGGATATGGCCATATTAAGTTATAAAAAATTTAAAAAGATAGACATATTATTATCAATCGGTATATTTGTGTTAAGTGCATCAGGTTTATCAGCTTTTGCATATATACCTCTTACAGCTTTAAGTATAGGTGCAGCAGTTCTTGAAATCAATCGAGAAAGTAACAATATTTCAGAAAGAAAAGAATACAGACGTTGTTATAAATTTGATAAACAATTATTAAATTTACTGAAAGCTAAATCAGTTACTGAAGAAAAAGTTTATCTAAGAGAGTGAGATTTAATAAATACTTTAAAATATTTTCCTGTTGAAAAATATGTAAAAGAAGAACAATTATATGGATATAAATATATTCGTAAATCTAAAGATTTTTCATCCCAATAAATAGATGTTAACTGGGTGAAGTTCCTAAAAACTCAATTTTAAGTGAAGATTTAATTAGAAATTTTGAAAATGCAGTTAGTTGGCAATTGATATCAAAAATTACCAGAGCCATTTATTAGTGAATATAGAGATAAAGCAGATTGAGAAAATATATCAGCTTATCAGAATCTATCTGCGCCGTTTATGATTATGCATGAAAATTAAACTAAATGGGATATTATATCTAGGTCTAAAAAATTATCTGAAAAATTTATTTTAGACAATGAAGATAAAGTAAATTGGGATGGCATCAGAATATCAAACTTTAAGTAATAATTTTATTTTACAAAATTTTGAAAAATTAAATATGAAATTAGTTTCTAGATATCAAATATTATCAGAAAATACTATCGAAGAATTAAAAGATGTAGTCGATTGGAATGAAATTATGAAATATCAAAGTCTAACTGAAAACTTTAAATAAACATGAAGATAAAGTTGATTGGTGTAACCCGGAATTATATAAACAATTATCTGAAAATTTTATTAAAAGACACAGTGAGAGAATTCATATTAAACTATTGGCACATATATGTGTGGGTCTTAATTGGAATTATATATGATAAAAGAATAATTTTTAATATTTTTCAGGGGGGATATATCCCACCCTGGATTTCTTTCACTTTTTAATATATTTTCATTCTTTTTAAAGGTTGACGAACAATGAAAAAATCATTGTTTTTCTTAAATTTTAATTTGTTTTGTCTAATTTCCATTTTTCTTAAATTTGGAAAAATGTTAAAAATACTTGATTTTTTAACTATTTTTATATTTTTTTTTTTTTTAAGTATTTTATTTCATTAAAATTAATGAAAATTTTGTCTTAAAAATGTTTTGATGAAAATACTAAAAATTCACTATTTTTACAAATCATGAAAAATTTATGTGTTTTTGTGATAATAATATTAATTGTTCTGTGTTTTTATACTAAAATGGGTAAAATAATAAAAATGCAGGTGTCCCATAGTATGGGACATATGCTGCTGACAGTTGTGGTCACATTGTAGTAAAAGTATGAAAAATTAAAATTTTTATTTGGCTGTCTGTACAGAAATTTCAGTAGTGTCTTACCCATCTATTTTTTCGGGGAATGCCCATAACATTAAAAAAAAAAGCAGAACTTTGAAAAAGTATGACTTTTAACTGAAAAACAAAGATAAGTATATAATTTTTAGGGCTTGTTTGAAGGAATTTTTGACTTGTTCTTTTTATACAAATGTAACTTTAAAAATCCATGCTTCTACTTTATAATACTTTTTTTCGGTAATATAAAAAGACTCCATTTATAAATTTGCATTTGAAAACTTGACATGTTCAACTGTCTTTAACATCGTTTGTATCCAAAAAATTTAGAGGATGATAAATTGAAATTTTAACTCTTAAATTTGGCTACAGAAACATTTTTCCCCCTTTAGGTTTTTAAGGACCTACATGAAAATTCAGATTTATACAAGATAAGAATTTTCATAGTCCACTTAACATTACTGATTTATTTCTTAAACTGTAATCTTCCTTGAATGATTATCACTAATCATTCAAGGAAGTCATGATTTTTTTTAAAACGTCACATATAATCTTTGTAGTTATATAAGTTTATTTTCCAGTATATGTTTGAATATTTTGATTGTTATTCACCTCAATCTTTTTTTACAGGGTTTTCATAAGCTAAGAGAATTTATAATAACTCAGCATCCACTGCCTAGCACAGTTGCTGACTTTTGGCAAATGGTGTTTGATCACAATTCACAAATAATTGTTGTACTTTCTTCAGTTGATGATAAAGTAAGTGTATTTAGCATAGTAGTATTAATAGCTTAATTGTAGAGTACTAAAAATTAGTTTTTATAAATCAGTGGCTAGTTTGAGTATTGATAAATTATGCACGTATTCAGACATAAATTTCCACTTGGCAACGCTTTTTACACACACACACACACACACACACACAAAAAAAAAAAAAAAAAAAAAAAAAAAAACCTGCTGTAAATAGCATTTTATTCAATAATTTCTGTACAACTCTTGAGGTTTTTTTTTTAATTCAAACATATTTCGATGTCTATCTAAAACAAATATTTGAAGGGAATGAATAAGCCTGCCAAATGCAAAATATAATCTGCCATCTGTTCTTTTGAGCATTTTATTTTAGTTTCTTCTATAAAATGATTTCAACCAGCATTATGTAATGTCTCAGAACCAACATGGAACTTTGCTTATGGAATTTTTGGTTTGAAGGAACAAAAGTAAACCTAGAGGTGAAACTTAAAACATATTCATTGAGCAATTCAAAATAAGATGTGCAATTTATGTTTAGGGTGTCATACTGGTTCATGAGAATACTCAGCTACTCATGACTGGTCAAACTCAAGACATCATTCAATCATTTGACTGAAAATAAATGGATCAACCTTCTTACGATTTCTTGGCTTCAGCTGATTGTAATCATTTTTCTGCATTTGAAAATGTTCCTTGCCAAATAAAAATTTAAGGAGGAAGAAGCAGAAATTAAGTGTGTCTTTTGCTAAATGGAAAGAGTATGTTTCTCTGATAAGGGGATGCAAAAAATTGTCACATTATGATGTATGGCTGAGTTAATGGTGTAGATTAGGGTGAAAAATGGAAGACATAATAATTATTTCTTTTTGTAATCTCATTCTGATTTTCCTTTAAAGCTAAGTGGAACTTACTTCTTGAATATGCCTTGTGTATTTTAATAAGATATTTAATTGTAATGTCATATCTAATTAAAATGATCTCATGTTAATATCCAATATTAGAATTTAGATTTCTGTAAGTAAATCTGTTTGAATTCCCATGAAGTATAAATTTTTGTTTATTATGTATTATATTTTGCTTGAATTATGTTCTGAATCTTTTACTATATTAGGTATTTTCTCCCTCCTTTCCTTATGCCTTCATTGTGTAACTGGAAGTACATTTGATGCATATTTGGGAGGTCCAAAATTTGAATCCCAGCAAAGACAGTTGCGGATTTCTTCAATTTCTTTGCTTTCAAAAAAGTCTTTACTAGTAGCACTCAAACTCAAAGATGGTGGATGATAATTCATCATCACTAGGATTTGAGAATTAGTCCCCAGCAACCCTTTAAAAGGGGAAGTATTAAGATATTTTCTGCCTCCTTTCTGTATGCCTTCGTGGTGTAACTGGAAGCATGCTCAAGGTGCAGTCGGTAGATCCGGATTTCGAATCCTGGCAAGGACATTGTAGATTTTTTCAGTTTCCGGACATGGAAAAATTCTAAAAGACTATGCAGCTGTAATATAAATTTCACATATTTTGCTTTTAAGTTAAGCCATAAGTTAATTTACCATTTGCATATAATGCTAGATTTTAATGCAGCTGTATGCCAGTTATAATATTTATAGAGAAATGTATTTTAGTCTAAACTGCTTCACTAATTTTACATTTGTTTCCCTGCAGAGGTTTTTATTTTGATTTATTTTTAGGAAAATCCATGTTTTTGGCCCAAAAAGGGGGAAGAAATGGATGATGGTAGCTTCAAGCTAAAAATGGTTGAAGAATCTTCCCAAGATGTTTTTGTAACTAGAGATTTTATAATGCAAGCTACTCAGGATGAGTATGAAATGACATGTAGGATCATTGAATGCCCAGGATGGCCTGAAAGTTGTAATCCTCCAAGCAGTGTTTTTGACTTGGTACAAGTTGTCCAAAAATGGCATTTGGAGTACCAAAATGATCCTATTATTGTTGTTGACAGGTAAATATTGCTGTTATCTCATACATATTGATTAAGTTTAATATTTTTTGGTTAAGCAATTATGTTTTAATTTTTTTTGTATGTTTTTGATGTATTAATGTTTAGAATATTTCATAAAGAGTCAGTACTGTGTAAGACAGTAATGACATTATTATCAAATGGATTCATGGTTTTACCAAATTAATGCCATGAATGTGGGGGAAATAAATATTCCTACGAATTCTTAATATTCATAAGGGTAGATTCTTCAGACCATTCCTTCAGTTGTTAGTTTTTATGATCTGCTACATTATTCCAAAAGTCACCAAAGAAATAAAATAAGTTAAATCAGTTTAAGTATCTGAAGCAAATACCATGCTGATTGTGTCTAAAAAAAAGTGTTTTTAGAGCTAAAGCAGAGAGCAAATAGCAGAGCAAAAATGGAAAGTTTTATTTCGAATAACTAACTAAAGTAGAACTATATCTGTTGGAACTACAGCATAATGAAATGTAATCTCCTAATGATAGCAATACTCACTGTTGCCGCCACTTATTAAATACATTATATATTATTATTGTTCACTTTCTTTTTTTAATATAATTTAACACTTCCCCTTGTCAATAAAAAAGGAGCAGTAATAATGATAAATTAGAAGAGAAAATCACAAGAGTTCCATCTTATTACAAATAATCAACAGTAACTTGGTAACATCACTAAATAATTGCTTTAATTGAATTACTTCTCTGACCATTAACTAGCTGCAATTATCTTTGCTTCAGTTGTCGAAGTTTCTGCAGGCTATTTATTTTTGGCTAAATTATGATACAGCTCCACTCCTATGTCTTGACATATTTTGAAATCTGTGCCACTAAAGTCCTCTAGTACTCCTGGTTTGTATTTATTTTCTTACATAACATTTTTAGTAAGAGAATCTGCTATGTGTCTGAATACACATTTCACTTTGATTCAATCGTTTTTCAGTGGACTTTCAAGCAGAGCTGTGGAGTTGGTAGAGAAAATGACCGACTCCAACTCCTGGAATTTTGAAGACTCTGACTCCGACTCCCTCGTGTATATATGTAATAACACGACTCCCTCGTGTATATATGTAAATAATATGCATTGGTTACAGCTTATTTTTTAATATAAAAGAAGTAATAGATGCTACTGAAAAAAAAAAGGTGGCATAGCAAATTATTTATATTAATTAGGATTTATTATGAAATTGAAAAACTGTCATTAGTTATTTCTAAGAAACAGTATAGCTTAGGCAAGCTCTTCTTTGTTAGAGGGCCATAGATCCAATTAGATAAACTTCAGAGCTGAGAAGTGTCTTTCTACACTAATTTGAGTGGGAGGAAGAGATGTTACTTTTAGGGCTACTTCTTTTATCTTTTCAGGATAGATTTTTATAAGTTCTAAAAGAGGTGTTTTGCAAGCGCAATCATATTTTTCTATTTCTTCAAAGGCCATGTAGAAATCGTGTTTGTATTTTTCATTTTTATATCTAAAGGCTCTTGGTTCTTTATTTTCATTCGCTTTGCCTTAGCCTTTTCAATATTATCCAAAATATTTCTCAAAATCTAATTCATCACTAGAAGAGGATGATAGAGACTCAAATGCAATGTCTGCAGTTTGACTGTCCTGATTCGAATTCTCTAATTGTTCTGAGAGTAATTTCATTCTTAATAAAAGTTCATAGATGGCTTTCTGTGCCTTTTAATTTGTTCGTCATCCAAGAATATTCAGTGTTTCGGATCTACATATATTGAACCCAGCAAGATCTCATTGTCTAGCAAACTAGTTTCTCTTTTCTTGATTGAAGAAATGATTCCTTCTGCAATAAACCCTCCATTTCAGAAAGAACAAATATCACATTCTTCCATTCTCGCCTCCTGTCAGATTCTTCAGATTGCAGCTTTCTTGTGGCTTATGCGGTGTAGAAAGAAGAGTTTCCAATTCTGCAAGATAATTCCACATTCTAGTTTTCTGTTAGTGAAACATCAAGGGTTATCTACATCTTCTAAAAAGTTCTTAATTCTAACAACCTCTTTATCACCAAATATGTACTTCCTTATCGCATTTCTTGATCAATAATTGCTCTTTTTTCTGCTCACTTCTTTAAAATGGCATCAAATTTGAGAGTTCTTGCTGCTATTGCTGCTTACCTAAATTTACCAGTGAAATTTATAACTAAATGAATCAGTTTAATCACTAATGGCAAATATCATATCCATCTTCCTCCCTTATATTTATTAATATGTCAATAAAATAGAAAATAACTTTTTATTAATGTATATAGTCGATAAATAAAAATAATAACTCAGCTTGTCATTAATTTTTTTCAATTCATTTTCCTTTCATTTCAAATTAAAACTGTCCAACAAAAACTGGAGTCGGAGTCGACCTGTTTTTAGCGACTCCAGCTCCAACTCCTTTTACCCCAAAATCTACCCTACTCCGACTCCACATCCCTGCTTTCAAGGTGAGGTGAAAGAATGCGAACACAGTAAGCTAAATCTGGTTTCGTACCTAACATAAGATACATTGAAGCTAGTACGCTTCTCTATAAGGGAAATTTTCTGTGTGTGGCTATCTTCCTCTTTCTTTTCAGTTAAGCTTTCCTTCAGGATAGAAGTTGACCACTGGTTTGCAATCTTCCATTCCAAATTTCTTTTTTTTTTTTTTTTTTTTTTTTTTTTTTTTTTTTTTTTTTTTTTTTTGCTTAGTGTTGATTCTGAATCTCCACTTCAATCCTCTGGGAAATTTTTTAGGTTTTTTATGTTGTTGCTACCAAACCATCATCTACATATAAGTATACGATTAACTTCTTGCAATTTTTGTTTCTTATATATAAGCATGGATCTGCTTCAGTTGTCTTGATGCCAAGCTGTGATACAAGTCTCTTAAATATTTCTTCTAACAGCATGATGCTTGTTTTCATCAATATAAACTGTGCTTCCACTCACAGACTTTGTCAGAGCCATCACTGTATCCTTCTGGTTGCTGCATGTATATGGATTCCATATAAGTGTTCCATATAAGAATTCTAAACAGACACCAAACTGATAAAGATGCATTTTCTCTTTGGCTGCAATATTGAGAATTGAATTAACAGTTCCTAACTCTGTTACTATACTAAATGTTTGATTGTAATCAACTTTATAATGCTGAGTAAACCCTTTGGTAATGACACTAAGCTTGAATTTATCAATAGATCCATCAGGATTCTTTTTGATTCTATAAACCCACTTGCATGATATAGCTTTAGCATAATTTGGTAATTTTTCTAAAGTCTGTTTCATTTTTCATCAGTGATGTTATTTCAGAATCCATAGCTTCTTTCCAATGTACACTTTGTTTATAGTTGTTTACTTCTTCATAAGAACCGGGCTGTTCCGAATCAGTGATAAAAATTTTACCTATGCTATCTATTATTATACAATCTATAAATACAAAAGCTGTCTATTATTATATAATCTTCAAAATGCTTAGGCTTTTCTTTTTGATGGTCTATTTCTTAGGTATCTTTATTGTTCATTATTTTGCAAATTAATATCTTCATATTTTTGGTCTTCAAAATCATCTTTTGATCTGTTTTGAGATATTTCTTCGTTGTGTTCTTTTTCTGAATTATCTTCTTCACTAAGGAAACTTTTCTGACTCATCTTATTCTGAATATTCTTGATTCTCAGAGCCAGGAATTAGTCTGTCTTGATATTGAACAGGCAACTGCACCCTGTCTTCAAAATTTGCAAGTTCCTATTTTAATATAACATCACATGAACAGATCACACTATTGCCATCTTCGATACATAGACAGTATCTTTCATCTTTGTTATTCATACCCAATTAAATAAGCCTTTGTAGCTTTATAATCCATTTTTTTCTTTGCTTAGGAGTATGAGCATGACAAACAGATCCTATTATGCATAGTTGTTTTATTTGGGATTTCTTTTTAATCCATAGCTCAACAGGAAGAAGCCTTCTACTGATGATTTGCCAGGTCTCTTTAGTACATGTGTGGCAGTGTCAACTAGTTAGCTTTCACTATGAGTTTCAAAATTTGAATACTTAAAATCTCTTGCTATTTCAGTTAGTGTACGCATATCTCATTCACTGGAGCCATTTGCTGGGCAGTATAAGCTACTGTTAGTCTTTGAGTTATTCCTTCATATTGCAAAATTGCGCACAATTTGTCTTTGTCAAACTCGCCTCCATTGCTGCTGAGAAATGCTTTGACTGAAAGTACCAACCTTATTTTGAAAACCACATTACTGTTTTACCATCCATGTTTGTCATGTGATAAACAAGGCTGTTCAAAATGATGACCTAATTTTTTAAATTCATTAATACAGTGGGATGGATGAACCGGGTCTGCAATGATGTTTACGTAGCGCACAGGCATCAGAGATTGTTCTATGTGGATTATGGGTCCTAATGTGCTCCATGAAAACATTGTCCACACCAACCACTGGTGGTCCATGAAATCTTTTTGATGGTCCACAGAAAAATTAGGACATTATTTATGATGAATTTATTTTTATGAAGATTCAGTTTAAAAAATGACGTGTAACAAAACCTACAATGGAATATGGATTATACTTTTTTTTAAAAATTTTGCTACTACTTTTAGCAAAATTCCTTCTGAATTTAGTGACTTTTAGCTATTTTTGTAGGTGTGTCTAGCAACATTTGAAAGTGAGAGCTGGCATCCATGGATATGCTGCTGTTATGAATAAAAGCACAAACTGGAATTCTCTTTTCTTTTGCATTACAAACATTTGCTATTGTAGTCGTTAATAACACAGTTTTTCTCGGTGTCAATAGGCAACTTGATGGATTTTTATAAGAACCATCTGCATTCTTGTTTACAATTGCATCACTGGAAGTTTCCGTTTTTGTTTTGTCTAACTGTTGATCGATGGCACCATTGCAGAATAAGCAATGATTATTATGTTCACAATAATTAAAAATTGGTGGCCTAACACTTTCAGTTTATTGATATGGCTTTGCTGGTTTGTTCTTGTTTATTGTGAAGTTTCTTTTCAGTGATATGGAAATGTGAAGCTTTCTCTACAAGAAAGTAAGATGTTTGTGCTTTTAATATAATTTTTCGGTGTGAACGAAATATGTTTATCAGTGAGATGTTAATAGTGTTTTAATTGTTACTCATAATCAGGGGCGCAGCCTGAATTTCCATAAAGGCATGCTGCTGAACACTAAATGTTTCAAAAATTATATTAACAAATGAAAATTAGAATTACATGTATTGGAAAGTTGAATATTGTTTTTGCATATTAATACATTGTTTTCAGGTCTGATTTTAAGGGGAGTTTTTTAATAAATAATTCATATTAGTGGTCCGTCAAGTATAAAATTATATATGTAGTAGTCCGTGAAGTTCTAAGGGTTGACGACTGCTGGTCCACACCATAATACCCACCACCACCAGCTTACCACCATCTAACTGTGCATCTGGGAGCCAGGGTTTTGTTTGGAAATTGGTTATTGGCACACGCCCGTTGATGTGATGGACCAGAAAATGTGATTCGTCGGACCATGCAACTTTCTTCCATTTTTCTAATGTCCAGTTCCGATGTTTCTTGGCCCATTGCAGATGCAGCTGGCGATGATGTGTAATCAGTGCAGGGACATGCTTCAGCTTCTGGCTGCGTAGGCTCATATGCAGCAATGTACGCTGCCCGTCTGTGTCGCCACTATCTTAGCTGGTGGTGATTTCAGCTGCTGTAGCTATTTGGTCACAGCAAACAATGTGTATCTGCTCTCCTCTGGAATTAATGCGCCTTAGATGTGTGTTCACAAAAACTGTTCGTGAACAGCCCAGTAAATGCACCATTTCTGATATTGATGCTACCAGCCGCCAAGCCACAACGATTTCACCTTTATTGAAGTATGATAAACCAGCTGTTTTCCCATTATGACGTTAATTGCACTTTGTTTGGAAAGACAATTCATAGCCGCTTTATATACTACAACATCAACCGTGCATGCGCAGTGGTTTTGTTCCTGGGTAAGCCCATTTTTATAGATGAAGGGTGATCATAATGTAATGGGTCTTCGGTGTATGTATATATATACACACACATACATATATATGTATGTAATATATATATATCATCTTTGGTTGTCATTTGCAGACTTCGATGTTCCCAACTAAAGTGAGCTTGGTGCAACTAAAGAAAGCATAATATTTTGTGCATCTAGTTGTATAATACTTGGCCTTTTTCTTGCATAAATGTATTTTTCCTTGTAGAGACATTAGGTTAATTAGAAAAGCTGGAGAGATGAAAAGTTAGCAACAACTTCGCCGGGAATCGAGCCATGGACCTCTGGAATACCGGCCCAGCATGCAGAACCACTACCCACGAAGGCATGCTAGGAAAGCGGGATAAAAACCTTATATACTCACTCCCCTTTTTAAAGGGCAACTGGGCTTGTGAGGGACCCAATCACCAAATCCTGGGTGTGGAATCATCATCCACAAGCCTTTTAGTTTGGGCACCACTGTAGAGACATTAGGTTAATTAAAAAAGCCGGAGAGATGAAAAATTAGCAATGCTTTTGCCGGGAATCGAACCCTGGACCTCTGGAATACCGGCCCAGCATGTAGAACCACTACACCACAAAGGAAAGCGGGCAAAATACCTTATATCCTTATAAAAGAATAGTCTTTATTAATCCATTTCCATATTTCTGTGTAATATACAGCATACAACATAATCATAATACAAATAATTGCATATAAGTAACCTTAAGATAATAATTAGACTAAAAATGTGAGCAGGAGTTTTGAAAAAAAAAAAGGGTTGATTAGATTTGTTTTAATAGTTTTATATAATTTTTTTAAATCTACAAATACAAAGTTTCCAGAAACAAAACTGTAAATTCTAGTTGCAGTGATGTTCGATTTTAATTAAGATTATGGCTGCACTTGATGTGATGTAACAATTTTTTTTTAATATTTGGTATAAAATTTAACTTGAGAATTAAGTTACCTTGTGTAAAAATATTTCATCTCTTTCTATTTACTACTATAAATTATTGGCTTCACTAAAGTATGCCTTTACTATTTAAGAAGAGAGAAACAATAACAAAAAAATGTTTGGTAAAAACTTATTTTGGGATATTTATCTAGGATGACTTTAAAATTCAAATCTTAGCGTACATATGCATTTTGAATAAGACTTGTGCTGCAATTAACATTTCTTGCTTCATAGTATCAAGGTAAAGTATATTGCTGTTCAGCAGTTCTTATGAGCCGTGCTGGTATTTTTTATTGCCTTAAAAGAGAACGTTACAATCTTCTAAATTTTGGGGGTGGTTAGAATATAACAATATACTCTCGGAGCAACTTTTGCATTCTTTGTATTTTTTGGTTGTGTTTTATTATTTTCCTGTGCTTTATTTTGTTATATTGTCCTTTTTTGCATGAAAAATGTGGATATTTTAAAAAGTATTAATGATTTTTTAAATATATTAAATAATGCTTGAATGTTTTTGGTCTTGTATTAATAGCTTTATATCAATAAACAATTATCAATTTCGCAGTATTGAATTTTTTGTTTAATCAGTGGGATGTTCATAATGCCGATCAATTGTGCATATTCAGCTATCAAACCCTTAATCATCACTGACCCCTTGTAAAATTTCATCAACCGCAGGATGTCAATACCAACCTCTTTGGAAATTCCTGATCTAGCCACGTGATAAAAATTAAGTACTGACATTAATAAATAATATATAAATTTAAGGATAATCGTATAGAGAATTGTAAAGATATTTAAGATTTGAAATACCAGCATTATTGTAAATTTGCATTTGCATGAGAAAATGGAAAGAAACTCTGAAGCCAATATAAATTACAGATAATTTGTTTAATTAAGAAGTAAAGTAAAATTATAAGTAAGTTTTATAGTAATGAATGAATTTTAAAAACTTTGTTTCTAATTGCTTATGTACATTGCTTGAGCATATTAGTTTGTCAAGGTTATTCATTGAAATTAGATGATGGTGATACAGTATGAAATTACAGCTTTAATTAAATCTTCTTAGATTCTTTGACCATAACTGCTGTAGGATGATGCTTTGTTTTTGTTGTTGCACTATGTGATTTAAATATTTCTTTATGATGATATCATGCAAATATTTGGTGTCTTTATTGGGTATCAAGAATCACTCCAGATAATTATGCCATTAATATAAATCTATCTTAAATTATACTGTTATCATTGTAATAGCTTAAGCTTCTGTTTTTCATTAATGAAAGATTTCTTCAGCTAGTTATGACCTCTTAAATCCTTTTTTTTTTTTTTTTTTTTTATTTAGTCAGTGATTTACAGTTAACCTGGAAATGTTAACTGAACAATTTATCTGCCATTTATGCTATTGTCTTTTACAACCATCAAATGATCTTAAAGAAAACGTATGAGACTTTGATCCATTTTGTAGCGTATGTTTCCATAGCCTTTCCTTTTATTGTGGATTTTCTAAATTTCTTGTTAAACTGAAAAAGTTTTATTAATTCAACTAACTGTTAAATTGTGATGCCCAGATTTCAGCCCAGTTTGATGACAAGCTATTCCTTCATCATGCATCACATTACATAATTACTTTGTTTGCAAGCAACATTTCTTAAAAGAAAGTTTAAGTTGCAACACAAATTTCTGTGAGTCAGAAACTTTAAAGCAAGTATTAATTATTCTTTTATAAGCAGAATTTAGATATTGGAAAGGGCTATTGTGGATTGAATAAGCTATTTTGATTTTTTATTGCTAAATTCTGCATTTTCTGAAACAGTTCTGTGTTTCTTAACTTTTCAAATAATGCTGTTATTTTAAAAGAAAATACTCTAAATTCTGTATTTATCTTTAACCCTCTGAGCATTACGGGTTTAGCCCTGAAATTTCAAAGTTCCTCAAAATGTCACGAATAAGTGATATTTTCTTGATTTTAATTAAAAAATGACTCTCTCATTTTGTACCTTGATTCCTTTTCTTCAAATATACATCCAAACTGAAATCGGATACATTAAAAGCTAGCAGAAATTTTCATGTATAATGAATGTGGAAGGCAACCTTCTGTACAGAATTTTCTGGTCGTAACGCTGAGAGTGTTAAAGTGATTTATAATTTATTTATTTTGGTTTTGAAGTTAACTTTGAAAATACAATATGAATGCTTTCAAGAGGTGTTGAAATTTATGTATTAAGGTGTATTTAGTTGAGAATTTCCTATATGAATCCATTTGAACCTTTTTCTGATATTTTGGGGGTGTTAGTATTAATCTGTTGGATGCTTGAAGGAACATAACATTTTTGTTAGTATAAATAATTACATATTAATTTTAAAAAATTTTCATTAGGTATGGTGGAACAGAAGCTGCTGCTTTCTGTTGTCTTACAACATTGAACAAACAACTTGAATATGAAAAATGTGTTGATGTATACTTGCATGCTAAATTGTATCACATGAGGAGGCCAGGAATTTGGAAAACTCAGGTATCGTTGAACACTGTAAAACTATTTATATTAAATTTGTATTAGCAAAACTTCAGTAGTCTTATGTTTTTATTATTTACAATTTCAAAGTTCTGTACTGATTTTATTTCAGAATAATTTTCTGCTATATTCCAATTTCCTAGTTTGAATTTCTTTAATGTGGAATTTTATTGTTGAACAAATCTTTTTATTTTGTTCTTATTTTCATGCTATCAGTTTCTACAGCTGTAATGTTTTCTTTACTAAAAGTATTTAAAAGCACGTTTTTCTAGGTGTTTACATTAAGGAAATACATTGTTTTCTCATTGTTAAATAGTAAATATTTATTAAAGCTCATTCACATGGCTACATATTCAGGGCAGTAAAGTTTTCTTTTCACTGCTATGAACCTCTGTCATTGAAAATTCAAGTAACACATAGATAGATTTTGAACATGTTATAAATAACTGTGTAAATGAATAGCAAGTAAATGATGTCTACTATTCAGTGATGATCTAATCTGGTATTTATGTACATTTGTATTTGTAAATTGCATGTTAAAAGGATGGTGAAGAACTAAAAACAGAAACAGAAAAAGAAAGGGAAAAAAACTCTTAAAAGTACAAAAATGTTAATTATCAAAGTATCATTTATACAGTTTGCTGAGAAAAAGAAAAATTATGATTTTTACAAGTCTCTCTTTCAACTCATTTGATGCTGTAAGCATTAGTCCCAGATAGGCTATCTTAAAATCATTTCAGTTATAGGATTTGTTCTCCTAAGAATGTTGCATAACTTGTATATTATGTTTATAAAGCTGACATTTCAAAAATGGAATTGTTCAACATTTAAAACTTCTACATATGTGAAATTTCAGTCATCCAACCAGAATTATTAGTTCTTAAAAAAAAGCATACTGTCCATAAACATGAATCATGAAGAGAATATAATATAAAATATTTATATACTTGAACAAATGAATATCTGAAATATTCAAATATTTTTGTTGTCATGTACGACATTGTTGCTACTATGTTAGTAAAACAGTATTATAGCCAATACATGATACTAGACAGTAGTGGGTTTGATCAGTATTTGGGTATGCCTAATATCTGTACTAGTATGTGCTGCATAATCTTTTTTTTTAACAATTACTGTATGATTGATTCTAAGCAAAAAAATATAAATACAGTACAAAGTCTAAAATTAGGACGTCCATTATCAGGAATGATCTAAAATCTAGACCTCAAAACCACCAACAATGTTTTTCTGATAGGCTTTACACATTCGTATGAGTCCCAATTCTTAATTTCACTTTGACACTAAATAAAATACCTTGTTATTGAAGAAACAATTATTTTAGAATAAATTTGTATGATTGGTATTTGGCTCTGTTGCTGCGTATCTGCTTGACACACATCTCAAACTGAAACACTCCCCATAGATACATCGTTGATCTGTCACCAACCTAGTGAATCATTATTTATTATACTTTCCTTTCATCACCGCATGTTTATCAAAACATGACAACTTGAGTAACGACTCATGTAGCGATGCCTAAACAATTTTTTTATGTTAGTAATTGACTAATAAAGGAGTATGATAACCTTTTATGTTAACATTATGCTCGGCGATAATTACAGATTTAAGTTAAATGCGCTAAAAAATGTTAACGAGGAAAAATTTACCAAACATTTCTTTCCATATGCTGAAAATAGATTTTGTTAATGATACTCATAAACCCAGAGATTACATTTAAGGCTATTTGAATTAAGAATAACTGATTTGTTATTCACATAAACCCAGAACGAGCACGAGAGTTTGTATGGCCGTACCGAGTCACAGAATTTATTACCCAGGTCACAGAATTTAGGAATTCAGGATCAGGCGGTAAGATATCTAGTGCCGGCACTCAATAAGGCTTAAGTATATGTGGGAAGTTATTTATTCAGATGTCTGATAAACCTTAAGCATGTGCAAGAGATAGACATAAGTATAATAAATAACTAAACTAATACAATTCAGGCTTAATTGTCTCAGTGTGCGATAGAAGCAAGATAAAATTTAACGGAACAACTTGTCGTTAGTCGCCAAGCTCATGATGCATAGCCAAATGTATATAGTGAAGGATTACTAATTTTAAAGGTTTTTCTTATATCGCAAAACAAAGGTGAAATTTTCCAATTAACGAATTTTGTAAAGAAGTGTGGTAATAAATAAAGATGATATAAAAGAAGTTTTTCATTGTGATGACAATGCTTCTCAGTCGTCAATCAAATTAATGAATGGCGAAATCTGTAGTATGTTCTAGATCCAGAAAATACCGCTACTGATAGTGAAGAAAGTGACAGAGAGTTACTGAAATTGAGAAAATTTCGATTGACAAGTTAGCCGGAATTCTCGAAACAGCAGTTACAGGACTTCTACAATGTAATTAAAGAGACTATGTCTTGTCTAAAGAATTAAAGATAAAGTATTAGCACAAAAAACTAGGCAACTTAAACAACTTACATTGAAAGAAATGTTTAATAAGGTAAACAAATAAATATTAAGCTTTTTTTGTAAATTTTGATACCCTTTAGATCATAAATACTTCATTATTTCATAAATCGTTATTTCATGTTTTTAATTTTATAATTTTTACATGCCATCGGTACTAGATTTAAACTGATGATCTAATATCCAGAAAAATCCCGAATCTGGAATTGCTGAAGTCCCGACGAGTCCGGATTTTGGACTTAGTACTGTATATTAATTTGATAGTTCTAATAACATCAGTAGGATGGTGGAATACAGAGGAAAATAATATGCTGAAAAACATAAACCAGTAAAGCCTTGTTCACAAGAGCAGATTCAACCGGTAGCAAAAACTGGCTCTTCCAAAGTGTCCCATTCACACGGCGACAAGCATTAACTGCTTCTCTGAATTGGAGGTAGAACCTCTCGGGAGCAGGGCAAATGGGGAGATTTCCTGTACTGCACTGTGCGGTTTGCTTAATTTTAAGAAAGTGGATGACTTGCAACTGAGTGCTCGCTGCACTGGCAGCGAAACAATTGCATTGGTAGATATCTGAGGATGCGATATCCTCCAAAAGAATTACATGGAACCGTACGAAATACGGAAATTTGTAAACAAGTATGGACAAGGTTATCTGATGGTGGATATTCTAGAAATACCGTTCAAATTAAAACTAAAAACGCACATATTGACTTCATCTCAACGACAGGACTGGTACCTTTGAATGATTTTTTGATTTAAAAACTTTGATCTACTTTTATGAATGTTATTAAATGGTTTTGTAAGACAAAATAATTTTAAGCTGAGAAAAAAATTTTTGCCAGTATTTTTTTTTTTTTTTTTTTTTTTTTTTTTTTTTTCAATTTTAAATTTTTGGAAGAAAAGTTTAACAGTTAAAATGTCGTTCTTCTCCTAAAATTTTCAATGGTTTTCTCCCATATTTTCTTACTGTATTTATTAGAAAGTTTTTAATAACTTAAAGGATTGATTTTGTAATTAATGAATTAGTTTCTGAGGGAAAAAAAAAACACATTTTTATGCAAAAACTTTGAAACAAATGATCTCAATCACATTTTCACTTCAAATAAATTTTCTTCTCAGTATTTTGCAAAACCCATCAGTGTTTCTATAAAGTATATATTTTGAATAAGCGACAAAAATATTAAATAATTTAGGCCATATCTGTATAAGTTTAAGGACATTAACTAAAAAGATTTATTGAAAAAATGCAAACTGAGAAAAAGCACTTTAAAAAATATAAACGGCCTAAATCGTCATTAAATCATTTCCAATTTCTTTAAAATGTTATTACTGAATTTCAATACATATATATATATATAATGTGATGTACCAGCTTTTGTCGTAGCTTAAATTATCAGACGATAAGTTTAAAAAAAACAGGATCCATTTATTATTATTCAGGAGAAATAGCAGTTGCAAAATCAGATATCCGGAGTAAATAAAAAAGAACTACTAATAACATTTTGTTAGAAGTTTACTGCATCGTGACATTTAAGAAAAAGCCCCCGATATTCTTTTGCGAGTCCTTTTATAGCCTCTGGAAAGGCGGAGCTTCAAAGAAATGACGTCAGCCAATCCAGTTCGCTTTAAATATTTCCAGAACATTCTATAACTGTATGTGTAGAAAAGGCGGGAAAAACAACTTGACTACGGGGCTGTGGATTTAATTCCACATACTTTCAAATAAGAGAATGTTGCCATTAAAAATGAAAAGAACATAGAGTTAGAATTTTAAGTGTATTCTTGACTATGGAATTTTATTATTACATATATATATAAAATAAAACCTAGTACTATTCAGTTGGTTATATAAACATAAATTACAAGCTTTCATTTAAAATCTTTGTTAAAACAGGTTCAAAAAAAAAAAAAAAGAAAAAAAAAAAAAAAAAAAAAAAAAAAAACAAAAAAAAAAAAAAAAAAAAAAAAAAAAAAAAAAAAAAAAAGGAAAAAAAAAAAAAAAAAAAAAAAAAAAAAAAAAGAAAAAAAAAAAAAAAAGAAAAAAAAAAAAAAAAGAAAAAAAAAAAAAAAAAAAAAAAAAAAAAAAAAAAAAAAAAAAAAAAAAAAAAAAAAAAAAAAAAAAAAGAAAAAAAAAAAAAAAAAAGAAAAAAAAAAAAAAAAAAAAAAAAAAAAAAAAAAAAAATTTTATTTTTCAAAAAGCAAAGTTTGAAATTTTAACAGCCACAAAACATTTTATTTAAAACAGCTCAGCTTTTCTTCTTTTAGTCATTTGGTCTTGTATATAAATTTGCATTTAAATTGAATTGTATTTTAATTAATTAAAGAATTAAACTCCATTGGCATTTTATAGCAGTAGTAAACAATGTCAAAAAAGATGTAAGTAAACGTTAGAAATCCGCCAATTTGATTCGCGTTTGTGACATCATTCACTGGTCACAGTGGGTTGTGGAAGGGATGGAAGATGATGTGCATCTGAGCCGGTCCTGAAGGCGAAACTGCTTCATATCCCCGTTTCTCCCTAATACAAACTGTGGCTGTGCAAAAGAACTTTGCATGTGAACAGGACTTTAAACAGCAGGCTCTTATAATGTTTTTAGGCAGCAAAAGTTAATACCTTTGAAAATGTCATTTTGAAAAATATTTGTTAAAAATTCTTAATATTGCATTAAAATTTAAATCATGTCACAGAATTTAAATAATTCTAAATTCAATGGTTTGTCATATACAAAGGAATTGAAAACCTAAAATAACAGAGTGAATAGTCCCATAAATTAGTATATTAGCTCTAATTTTTAAGAGTAATGCAGTGATAGGTCATTTATTTAGTAGTTTTGTATATATTAAGTCTGTACGGTATTTTTATTGTGCTTGATTTTATTATATATTTATTACATTTCCCCCCTTTTCTGTTACAGGATGATCTTTTGTTCTTGTATAGAGCATTAGAGCATGTTATTAATGTTGGTTCAACGGAGACAGAATCTGCTGTTGGAAATGCTACTAATGGTCATGTAAACAGTAATGGACATGCCATAAAACTGCCATCTGCTTGTAGTAAAGAATCAACTGATGCATGATGATGATGGAAATTAATTCTATAAAGTTATGAAGTTTATATTTTGTTCTAAGAATCAAATCGGGACGTCGGTTGTATTGATAAAGGTTCAGATGCATTTGGTGAAATTTCATTGTCACCTTTTGCCAGCTTATTCAGAAATGTATTTCCAATAAATGCCTCATGCCATACATCAGAGATGATTTCAGTGTTGAAGGTACTATCAATGCTGATATCATCAGTTAATTGTATATCAATGTCTATGATTTGTAAGAGTATGAAAAATATACTAATGCTGATATAATTTTCTGTAAAAGAGTTTTGAGGTGTATATTTCTTCCCTCAATTATGAACAGACTATTAGAGCAATTAGGAATACTGGAGTTGTTGCAAGTGTTCCAAGAAGTTCCAGCTCCTGCACTGCCTATGTACAGTTGTGGTAGCTATGAGAAAGTTATTGATGCCATGATATGCATCTAATTAAGGCTAACTCTATTTGAGTTGCTATTCCTCTGTTATTGACATCTGATTGACGTTACAGAGATATGAGCTAGTCAAGAGCTATGTATTATTATAAGCTTTGCGCTTGCTCAAGATTATTTTTGTTTTGTTTTTGTTTCATTTCTGTATTCTCTAGGCCAGAGCTCTAGATTTCTAACAACTAGAGTGGGAAAGATTCTTTATGCAGTTTTTCATTTGAGGAAATAATAAGTATATTATGGCTTGAGTTTATTTCTAAAATAATATAATCTTAAATATCAATATATATATATATATATCTATAATTATATATATATATATATTACAATTGCCTTTGTTCTGTTATGACATGATGTGACTAAAGTAAACCATATTTTAAATTCTGTATCTTGTGTATTTATTATCTTATTGGATTAAAAAACTTATAAATTTGCTTCAAAATTAGAGATTTACCCATAGAACGTGAAATTTTTCTCTTCTGAGAAACTGCATTAGATGAATGTCCTTCAGTATAATTGCATTTATGCCTGATGATTTTTTTGTTATCAGGCTCCATTGTGATTGTGCCTCTAGTTTATGGACTGAATTTTGTAACTCCCACTCACAGTATAAAATTGTTTTCTAAATCTTGCTTATATATTAAGTAGAAATTAAATTGATTTTGAATGTAATTTTATTTAAATATGACCAACGATGCATTATAATTATAATTTCTGACTATTTGTTGCCTGCAAATCACACTAACATTTTATACACACATTATATATATATTTAAGATAAAACAAAATACAATGGCTGCTTTAAGAATAATTGGTGACCTCAAAATTAACTATTCTAGATTTTAATGTTCTCCCCCTAAGTTCATCCTTTCTCCAAAATTCAAGATCTTACCAAATTACATAACACCGCTTGAAAAAGGTAACTAAAATTAACCAGTCATGGCTCAGCTTCACATATGCACCTACATAGTATAAATATTGTGTTGCGAGCTTCCTTTTCCTAGCTTTTACCATGCTAGCAACTCTACGCTGTTTATGCTGTCTAAGATGGTAACATTGTACCGTTTAAACCAGTGTACATAAAAATTTATCGTACTCAACGAAATGATTGAAAAGTAATTTGTCTGCCAAACAGATTATTTGTGTAAAAATAAAGATGGTGTTTCTTCAATTAAGTTTTTATTAGCTGCTGCATCAAGCCTTCATCCACAGCCACACAACTGCATTAAAATATATATATGTGTGTGTGTGTGTGTGTGTGTGTGTATGTGTGATTTTAAATTAACTGAACCAAATGGGCAGAAGCACATTATTATTTTTCTTAGAAATTACTTAGTTCCTGAAATGTAAATAAATTTTGTAGATGTATATCTGTTCTGTTTTGTACATATATATGTCTGTATGTCTCTGCGATGAAAACATGCATACACATAATCTCTCATAAATACATGTATATAAATACATTTATAAATATCGGTATGTTTATATATATGCACAAATTTGTACATGCATATATATACCTATATATATATATATATGCATGAAAATTTGAGTGCATATGTGTGTGCCTGTATATAAATATATGTATCGGGAAAATCTAAAATAAAATTAACTATGCAGCTATATTATTACTTCAATACCTGAATTTGTTTTGCATTGAGGGCTTAGGCGAGATGCTGGAATTAGTGGGAGATTAAAAATAATAAAACTCAGAGCTTCGTAATTTGTGTGTTTAAAAAATGTTAACTGTCAATTTCTTTTGGTGGGTATAGTATGTTTTATGTACCACTGAACTTGCATCTTGATCTTTATGTAAATGAGTTTTGTATAAAATCAAATGGATAACATTCATATTCATTACTCCGTTATATAGGTATTCAGTATTGCATGTAATTAAGCCAAACAAAACTGAAATTTTACTGTAATGTGATTTTTGACATAAAGAATTATAAGGGCATTTTTTGGCATCCAGTTGGCCTTTTTAATTTTTTTTAATCCATAGTTAACTGTGAAACTGCTTTAACAGTTTTAATAACTTTGGATACATATTCTTTCTAATAAAAAGCTTAACTTGGTGATGTTTTTATGTAATAGTAATAAGATAAGCTTATTATTTAAAATACTAATATGTCCTGTTACATTATGAGGATATTTTTTTAGGGACATACTGCTTGTATGCAATGAATATAAATAATTCCTAGCTTAGTCAAGGAGTGTAATGATATAGATTTAGTCTACAGTTGTTAAATATTTAATCTATGAAATGTTGTTTCAATTATTATTTAAGCAAGAATATATGATATACATTGCTCATTGCTGAATATTCATTTTGATATCATCTGAAGGTGGGAATACTTATCTAATACCCTCATGTGGAATTACAAGTCTGACTTTCTTAAACTGTGTTGTTAATGTGCAACACATTTATTATTAAATATGAAATTAGTATACTTCATGTCAGTGAGTTACATAAAACATAAAATGGGCTATTTTTAGCAAAGTAATGAAATATTTCTATGTAGGAAAGAAACAATTGACGTGCTGGAAAGGGAAAAATGTTTTTTGTTTTCTCAATTTATAATAGTAATTAGATGCATATAAATTATTGAATGTTTAATATGCACTTGTATAAGATAAAGATTTTCAGAAGTTATTAGAGCTAAGAATGTAGAAAAGAATTGTGAGTAAAAATTTGTACTTTTCAAATGTATATAATAAATTCATATGTAAGTGTCCTATTCTCAGCATATTTTTGTTTCCAATTTAAGAAACATGTTTTTGTCTGTAGTTTGCTCTCTTATGGCATCTAAGAAATCTGCTTTGCAGATTAGAAAGAAGGTTGATTTACAGATCTGAAATCTATTTAAAGAATGTATTTTTATAGAAAATCTCACCTGAGTAATTTTATCTGAAGTACATCTCCAGTTATTATGAAACTTAGAAGTAATTAACTCAAATTATTATAGAAATTTTACAGAAAATAAAATGCATTTTTATGACATAGAAATGCAAAGTTACTTCATTCAATAGCATGAAAGAATAGTTCATATTTTTATGCTTCACTCAGTTAACTTTATGTAAATTTTTTAATAATGTGGCACACATTTCTGCGATATTGAGCAAAACCTTAACACACAACCTATTTTTGAATAAGCAGTACTATGAAAATTTCCATGAGTATTATTAAACTTTATATAGCAACTGTGTTAATATTGCCAGCTTAAGTAATTGTTAACACATATTTTTTTGTCCTTTATCATACCTGTTTTAAACATGTGTTGAATGGATGTCATAATTTATGCTTTTCAGATTCTGCTGTATACTTTATATAAATTTTATTTTGATAGCCGAAGTTTAGCTTTCTTTCCCATTTGATTTTGTTCTTGGAAACAAGGTCTATTTTTTAATATGAAGCACATGAGATGTATTTATGTTTTATTTGTGATACGGTTTATGTTTATGCAGGCACATGAGTTTTCTAGAGCAGCTGTATCTAAGCCATGATTTCATATTTTATTTTGTGGGACCATGAAATTTTGTGATATATTGGATTTCTAGTTTGAAATAAGTTGTTCCATATGTTGTACTTTTTTTGTGTTAATTTTGTTATTTTTGGTGTGACAATTTCTAAGTGGCTTACAATGATTTTTATAAAATAGATATAAAATTTATCTAATTTTTAACTGTTAGCTTTTAGAATCTTTCATAATTGTTCATTTTAAGTTATATAAAATCACTTTTTACTGCTAATTATTCCAGCACGATTGTGTGAAGTTTGTTTTCCAAATTTGCTAATGAAAGAATGAACTTCTTATTTTTAGTGCTACACATTGCTGGGGCTATTTTATACATATATTTATTGTTTTATTTAAAATTTTAGTCAGTAATGTTACAGGAATAAATTTTTTCCTGTGTAAGGGTAGTAAAAAGGGGCATGCATATTTACATTGTTCACTTAATTTTGGAAACTTTTTATAAAAAATGTAATACACTAGAGTAAAAGGTATGTGAATGAAATTTTGTTATATTATTTATACAAACTCATTAGCTGTCATGTCTATATGTATGTATTTTATGCAGAATGTCTCAGTCAGTATCTGCTTATCATAGTCATCATTTGATAGTTTTTGATCTACTGTAATGTAATTCTTTTAAGTATTTTGTGCATTGTGAAATAGCTTGAATGTTCACAAATATTCGATTTCTGATTAGCGGTAACTGAATAATTGCTTATTCTACAGCATATGACTATCTGTTTTAAACACCTTGCATTAATTTTTTACCTCTTTTCATATTAATTATTAGTAATTGGTATGAAACTGAATTAGAAGGTGTATTTAAATATTACTCTTAATTCAGCTTTATATTGGTTGCTCATATGGAATGTGTGAATATATTTTAGAGTTATCAATGATCAGCTTAAAATATTTTTAAACTTTATCCTTGTAATTAACTGCATTATTCAGTGTAATATAGAAAACAATTTATTTTCTCTCCTGATAAATGAAATATTTAGATATGCTAGATTTTAACAAATTTTTATTAGAGATTAACTATATGAGTATAATTGCATTCATCTTATTTTGTGATGGAGAAAATGAATGAAATAATGACTTTGTGTGTCTTTTAACTAAGAAGATTTTTTGCCTTTTTTTACCATAATTTTTCAAAGTATTTTTTTTACTATCTGTTATTTTTGTAAATATTTATTGATTTTAATTTTTTTGTAATATTTTTGTTTAATTTTACAATTATCATCTTCAATATTTTTTATAAAATGTAGAAAAAATTAATTCTGTTATATAGTCAATGTGTATTTTTTTAACACATCCCCTTCCTTCTCTGTGCTGATCAAAAGATTTATGAATGCTGTAACAGAATATTAACTAGCTATGGATTTGAACTATGTGAGAAGAAATATTGGAACAGTATTATGATCAAGGCAATTGTTGCTCAAGCAGTGAAATATGTTTACTTGAAAACAAAATAAATTTATCCCTATGATATTTTGATAATGTCTGTTGTTTTTTTTTTTTTTTTTTACATGTATATCTGCTCAATTGTGCATATTCCCTTCTACCGAAAAAAAGACAAATAAAATTTTTAAACGTATTTAATAGGTTACAAATGTTTATTACCCTTTAAATTTTTATTGCAAAATGCTGATTATTTTCTTTATATAGTTATTTTCTTGGCACTGAAGCAATTAAATGCTCAATAAACTATGTACATTGAAAGTCTTTTTATACAGCCTTTTAGATGCCACATCATGGTATTTCTGTTCACCTGTACATCCTCAGTTCATCTAAACTAGTAAACATACACTACATATAGGACAAAAAGCAAACCTGGCCTTTTCTTTCAGTGGAAAAGTATTTAAATTATTTATAATTTGAATCAATTGGTCAATATAAAAATTATTCAGATACCTTTCTTCATTCAAATCTGCAAAGGCTATAGTTATCAAAGTATGTCCCTAAAATACCTCACATTCGTAATAATTTAAGAACCCTACACAGTTTCTATGTTGTAAAAATGATTCAGACATGCTCAAATATTTGAAGGTTATAGAAACTGATTTGCCCCTGGCAAGAATAAACTTCTGTATTTTTTTTTTTAATTTCATATGTGCCATTTCTTCACACAGGTATTTCCTTCTTTCTTCCACATTTGTTTTGTTATGCAGATGTCATCAAACTTTTCTCCTAATGCTATTTTGCAGGCGCCTATATAAGACATGTGATATCTATATGGTGATGCATGAACCTAAAAACAGAGAAACAAATATATTTTAAGAAACATTTACAAAATTCCTAATATTTTATCTTTATGAATAGTATTTCAGACCTCAGTACTTGTTGGAATATCTGATTTAAAATTGAGGTCCTCATAAATTTTCGTAAAAATATAAATAAAACCAGAAGTAATTTTCATAAACTGGAAAATGTACTTATTATTTCTTTTAATGTTACAAATTAATTCTTGAAATTTTGTTTATCTGTAACATCCAAATCATTTGATAGTTGGCACTACATCTTTTGAAATTTGAATTATTACTTAAGCTTGTAACAAGAAAATTTTTCTATTTGTGGAAGGTACACTTACTTTGGGACTTATTGTATCTGGTGTCAATTTGTCAATTTCTTTTTCAAGCCTCTCTACAAAACCAGGTAATAACGTCAAACCTCCGCTGATGAAAATACTTCGAGTCATTTCTCTTCTCAAATCTACTCCACACTCCTGGATAGCATTATGAACTAATTTGTGCAGTCCTGGATTGTCTAATCCCCATCGTTCAGGAGTAAATAAGCCTTCTGGAACATGAAATCTTCCCATATCTAGAACTATTTCACTGAAAATACAAAGATCATATAAGAGTTGTTTTAAAATACATTGGGGGACAATTTCTAAGCATAGATGACAGTAGCAGTGATAGCAGCTACACAATGGATGACAGAAAAATATGGAAATTAGCATAAGTGTGTGATACAGTTAGACATATGGTACGTATGCAAATTTTCGATTGCCGAAGTTGATCATCACATTATAGCACTGATAGAAGATTTAAGGATTTGACACGTATTGACCATTATTATTCAAAAGCAAAATTTTAACAGGAAAGAATTGGTTGACGAACTTGCAATTTTTTGTATGTCTTCTCGACATCACTTAGGTGATTTTACGCATGTTCATATATTGGCAGGTTTGAAGACGAGAAAATATAATGGATGTTGCTAGGAACTTGCAGAAGATAGGTACATAGTGCTATCGACAAAAAGGAACCGGCACTACTTCCTGCTGACTGGCAAGTGAATCTCTCAAAAAACTGTAGCCAGATGTTTGCATCAAGGAGTACTATACACCTGCCATCCTGTTGTTTGCATTCCATTTTCTAGATGTCGCCGTTCCACCCATTTGTAATAGTGTCGTTAGCATTGCAATCAGAGAGAAGATTGGGCCTGTGCACTATTCTCAGATGAACGTTGGTTCAATCTCTCATCTGATTCCAGATGACAACTGATGTGGCGTGAGAATGGTACTGTTCAGGGCCGTTCCTAACAGGTTTGCAGCATCTAAAAGTATCCGCAGGTGGCCGGACTCTTACAACACCATGCCTAAATATTTCATTGTAAGTACTTGTCATGTGTAAGTACGTTTTATATAGTTTGTCATATGCAAGTGTTTAGTAAGCATGAAATAAATATTTTATTTATCATTGAGTATATATTTTAAATTTTGAGGCGGCAATCTTAGGAAAGTTACATGGGTAGCCAATGGCCCTGGTACTACTGCATATAGTCTAGCCAACGTATGGGAAAGGGACCAATATCCTACATGTAATGTCATGGTATGGACTGGTATCATGATCAATGTCTGTGTGTCACTCTATTGCTTCCAGCTAAGTGGCCAACCATACATTAATAATGTTATGTTGTTTCATGTTTGCATGTTCCGTGGTACTGCTGGAGATAAATTTATTTTTATGGACGACAATACAACATGTTTTCGAAAAGTCTCTGTCCAGTAGTGTCTAGAGAGTGAGGATATTAAACATCCTCTATGGCCAGCACACTGTCTAGATCTGAATTCCTCTGAAAATGTTGGAGGAGGTCTTGCTGGTCTAATATGTCGTTCAATAAACAAGAACACCCTCATCCGTGCACTGATAGAAGAATGAGATAAATTATCCCAACAGATGCTGGATAATGCTGTGCAAAGCATGAGACATGTGAACATTGCATTGTCCTCCATGATGCCCATTTCTCATACTGACATAGGCCAGAATGCTTGCTGATGGTAATGGCATATTTTTCACTTTTACATATTCAGCACAAAATGACCATTTTGTCCTTTGAACACTTTTCAAAGCCTTCTGGATTTCAGAGCACAATAAATTATGTTTATTGTTATGTCCTAGTATTCTGGCATTATTTTATTATATCCAGCCACACATACTTTTTTTTATGAGGTATATTTGTGATCCATCCTTAGCAATTGTCCATTAGTTTGGTTTTCTTGATTTCTTTTTAATTCATTTACAATTTATATTAAAATTAATCTGTTATGCTACTTAATAGGAAAAGTCTAAACACTAGATTACATTTTGTTCTTAAAATAATGTTACTGTTTGTGTTGCAACCTAAGTACAGAGAAAGATTTTTCATGACATTAATTTTAGGAAAGAAATCTTAAATCATACTAACTCCCAAGGACAATCTTCTTTGAAAAAATGACTCGTGGAGATAGACATCTCAAAATCTTCTGGATTTGTGTGATACCTCTGTAGTTCTTCATTATAATCATCAGCCACATAACAAAGCTGTTCCAGTATATAACGTGCCAAATAGGACTCAACATCACTAACTAAACTAAAAAAAGAAAAAAATTGTGTTTAGAGCCTGGTAATTATGAGAATTCAAACTTAATAGTCATCTATGAGATTACTGAACTTATAATTTAAACATGAGGGATTTCTGTAGTAAAATATAAATACATTTGTAAAGATTATCACTTTGTAGAACTTATCATTTAAACATGTGGATTTCTATAGGAAAATATAAATACATTTGTAAGACACTTTGCAATAATAAATATATGATCTCGAGCAGTAGTTTCTTTGAATTTTCTAAAGTATTAAAAATGTCATCATATATTATGTCAAACTTGGTTTTAAATTTAAGAGAAACATGTTTTTCAGGGACATATCCTGAATTTCCACTAACAGCATGTTGCTTAACACCAAATGCTTAAAAAATGGCATTAATGCATGGGTGGGAGATCCAGATCAGAGCTGACAAGCCTTCTTAAATCTCTCAGTGTCTGAATTTAAATCATGTAAATTGAAAAAAAAAAAAAAAAAAAAAAATATTGCTGGAAAAAAGTGTCGGGGAAATATAAAAATTTTAATGACCAATTCTTATAACCTTAAACCGTGCAAATTTCATTTTTCCCAAGTAATTTTTTCTGGTTAATTTTTATTTGATCTGAGGTGTTTTAACATGGTATCAAGTAGTAGTTATGTTATAGATAGGAGAGTATTTTATGAAGCCTTAACAAATATTAGTAAGTAAATAGTTATATTTAATTTTGCTTTAAATGTGCATATTTAAAGCATAAAAAAATCCCTGCTAATTTTATTCACATAATTATATACACATTAATTTTATTGTCATTGTATTTGAAAGTATTTTAATGAATAATTTTTTTCTTACCTTCTCTTTCACCAGTATTAAAAAACAAAATTACAAAATTCAGTGAAATTGGCTCATAACCCATTTAGTTCTTACTTAAATTCTTGTTCTAAATTTTAAGTTAATATATTTCACATTAAAATCCTGTTTCATAATTCAAATTATGCATCTAGCCTTAAGTCAAATTTGACAGTTTAAAATCCATTTAAAGTCGCGTCATCGTGTGGCTCGAAAAACCTTTTGGTTTTTCGGACTTCAAAGATTGACAACTATGGCAGTTATGTATGTTATATTTTTCCAAAGCGTTAAAAACATCCTAATTTTTATTTCATTCAAGCTTGGATTATAAACTTTAGAAGCCCCCAATTTTTTTGGGGGGGCCTTAGTTTATGACAGTCTTAGTTTATTTAGGGTTGCTAGTAACTAATTACTGATCTATATGAGTGATATCCTTGATATACTCGTAACAACAACTTAAAAATATCAATCGTAGAAAGTGTTGTATAGTAATTAGTTTTTTATTCTAAATTTCTGGTGAGTTTTCCTGCGATTAATTATTTTAGGCCCAAATTGCTTAAAGTAATTTATTAATAAAAATCTAAGTTCTAAAATCTTGTCAAGTAATTTAATTTCTTAAAATATTAAACGGAATCGCTAATCACAAAGTTAAACTTTGGGATATCATTAAGGCTCTTAGGCACACCAGCGGCCGAGCTGTAATGTCGCTGAACACTAGATTCAGGGCTTGAATTCCGGCGAACGGGCTGGCTGCATGGACGTTTTCATAGTTTTAGCTATGTGTAACGTATATACGAGCCAGTTTCTCTTAGAAAGTCATCTGAGAAAGGCATGCCTCCTTTTAGGCAGGTAGGCCCTCTACAGCTTTGCCAATAATTGCATAATCAAATGAGCCAAACCATATAGGCTGTTAGCAAAAAGACCTTTCTTTAGTAAAAGACAGTGTTTTTAAATATGATTCCAAAGTATATTGAAATTTAAGGCAAAAATAATTGATTAAAATTGATTCATCGCTTCGTAATTTATATACAGCATTCATAAAAATGTTTTCATTTTGAAACACTTGGAATTTTATGTTCAGTCAGTTAGTTTAAACGTGCGTTACATTTAATCAGAGCTGAAACTGCGCCGGAGCTCTAAATAAGCAGGCTCCGGCACTTCTTTTATGCAACTGGAAGAACAGCTTCAGTAGAAATTTTGATCTCGAAAATTTTATATTTAGTAATAAAATTATATTAAAAACCGCTTATTAAATTTTTATTTCTCTTTACGTTTTATTAAATGTTAATTATTTCATTAATTGTTTAATTATTTTAATGATTAATTATTTGGTTTTTTAATTATTAATGATTTTATTAATCATTTTACTTATTTATTTATTCTTATTCCTCTTTCCTGACGGTCTTCCGTAGGGCTCCAGCACTTCTACTTTTAGAAATTAAGCCCTGCATTTAATTACACTTATATTCCCATTAGCTCTGAATTTTCTTAGCATCACTTTTCTGACACAGTTTTAAGATGTTCGAAATCCGCCACACTTCCGGAGAGAAAATTTTGGCGGGAAAAGGGTTGATTATTCATGAAAAAAAATTAATTATTTTTTAAAAATTCTTGGCGTTCGCGGTTGGAAAAACTCACCCTTTAAAAAAAAAATTTTTTTTATTTTTTTTAAAGTTTAAGGGAATGTGGTTAGCCATTAAACCTTTTGAGTAATTTGTTCCCTTCAGTCTCCTCGCCGATGATTATTCTTTTGATCGAGACTTCTTAATGTACCATGAGTAGCGGGATGCCGGGAGTTTTTTCTCTTTAGCCAAAGTCTGCCCTTCTGATGAAGTTACCCGATGAACAAAAAGACAATTGTGTACTGATATCTCATGGTCAGGTATCATGAGACCTATGAACTTGTGGATCAATAAGATCAATAACAAGTTAGCTTACCTTTCTGTAGCGAATGGTAACCAGAGATAAAATTGGTTTTTGATTATGATCCATCCTACAACCAAAAAACAAGACTTCTGAGTGAATGAAAATGAATTCTAATGAAACAAATCCTAATCATTTTGGTAAAGTTAAGTTATCTGAATACGGGCAAAGCCACAGGGACTATCTGTCAAAGATGAGTGATGTCTTCGTGGAGTACTTTCTGAGGGATTATGGGATTCAAGTGTTCCACATGAGGAAAATCCACCATGCAGCCAGCCCGTTCGCCTGAGTTCGAATCTAAGCCAAGTCGAACTACTAGCATTCAGCGGTTTTAACCACTTAGCCACTGACGGGATCCCCAGTACTTTGACTGAAGAGAACGCATAAATGAACAAATAAATCAGAGACAAGTACTCTCATATATATGTAAGGTTTTACGTACTATATGTTGAGTTCTACAGTAATGGAAGTTTGTGTTTAAGTCCTGCATACTCTGCTAACTGCTTGTGCTACACATAAACGTCCACTAGCTAGGGGGTATTTAAATTAACATAACAGAAAGTTAAATTTCAGATGCGGATATCACAGTCAAAAACTACTCATAAAATAGACTAATTAAAGTAGATCAGATATTTAGCGACGCGCATTTTAAACATCGGATAGCAAGACGCTAAAGGCAGAATACAGCTTAGGAGACATTAAGGCAGAGCTGGCAATACGATAAGACGCGGCTACCAGCAGCTCTAATCTTAACATGCAAAACCCTCACGAATAATAGATTTGCATTCTGTTGAGGACTATGGGAGATGTTGTATTAAAGGCTTAAACCATAATAATTGGTTAATTAACATAAAATACGTTATATATATATATATATAATGTGGTCAACTGAAATCCATTCATTGACCACTAATCCAATATGGTGTGAATGTTCAGTTTTAGTGATATATCATGACATGACATTTATCTTATGACATTTATGACATGACATTTATCTTTATTTATATACAGTATAAATTATGAGGCAGTGATTTTTGCCTTTGCGAAAATAACCATTTAAAGACGAAGTTCTGCACACACAATTCGTCCAAGCAAGTTCTACGAGCTGTCATAGAATTCTTCAGTGCTGAAGGAAGTCAATCAGCTGACGTGTTTCGTGAGATGAAGAAAGCGTATGGCGACTCAAGTGTTTTGAAAAGAGTGATGGTGGATTGGGCAATAATGCTTAGGGAAGGACTGAATTAACAAGTGATAATTCCAGTCCTAGTCAAGCCCATGTTATTGCCATAGAGATGGAACATCACTGAAGATTTTGAAAAGTCTGAGGTATCACAAGGTGTGCGTGTAGTGGGTTCCCAGGATGTTGACGGAGGGACAAATATTAGAGCGTCAGACGTTTTACTCAGATACTGAACAGAAGGCCAACCTTCAAAATTTTACATGGATGGCATTCGCAGATAGGTCACAGAATGGAACAATTGTATGATTGCTTATGGTTCTGAAAAACAAGTGCTGTCATATATTCATCATAAATGCCTGTAAGTAGTGAACACAGAGTAGTTAAATATAATTGTTATTTTTCAAATATTATCTACATAAGCATTTCTGTTGATCAAACTACATATATTTAAAGAAAGGAATTTATATCACCCGGACAGTTTGAAAAATCAAACATTTTGCCTGTTGGTAATTGAGTGCTCAAGATAGCCTCTCTTGAAATAGCAAACATTTTTCTTTGGTTCTTTCACTTTGACAGCGCGCCAAGTCACCTATCATTGGCAGTGAAGAAAGTTTTGGTTAAAAATATAGCAACGCTTTCCATGGCTTTTTTTGCTCCCAAAGCTCAAAACGAGGCCATCATTTTGAGAAAAAGTGTCCAGACAGCGTCGATGAGGGCATTAAATATCCCAAATAAAGACTTTTTCCAATGCTGTGAAGGGTGGCAGTAACACTGGAATCATTGGATGTGATTCATGGGACTCCCTGTTTTGAAAGCAATAAATTCTAATCGTATATATTCAATAATTTTTTAATAGACAATTCTCATTACTTTTGGCACAGACTGTATATTCTGAAAAGTTAACAGAACATGTAATTTTTCTTCGGATCCCTCAACAAATTAACGATATATAATGCGAATCATCATTAAAGGTAGATTAACTATCGTTTTCCTTTTTTTAGTGATAAAATTAAGTAAAACTTCACTTACCTGATATTTTTTTCAGCAAGGACATGCTTTAGATGGTGTATCATTCTTTGTCCGCCATATGGTAGTCTTGTTACTCCACTTTCTATTATGTATCCTAAAATCATAAAAACGAATGAAGTAAATTTTGTGATATTCATCAGCAAAGAAAACATGATTATTACGTCTTCTTAAGTCTTGCAGGATCTCATCGGTAGGCAATTAACAATTTAAGCACACATAATTTCTTCAAAATGATTTTATCATGATGCTGCCATGAAAGAGCATAAACAAATTTAGGTGCATTTCCTTGCAATATATCAATCATTGCATTCGCAACCGTTGTTAACAAAAATTCCAACATGTTACTTTCAAAAATGTCGTAAGCACGTGAAGAATTTTTTTATTTGAAATTAACTAAGATTTTGCTGCTTTTCGGAAAGTTTCTGCACTTGGTTTGAAGGTAATGGAAGTTATACATTTCATTTAATACATAAGCATCTCATATTTTTAAATTTATTTTTTGAAGAAAATGAATTTCTCAAATATTTCAAATAAAATTCTAGATAATTTCTTCAGGAAAAATATTACTAATATATTGAAAATGTTTTACTTTCAATTAAGCAGTGTGAAAGAAAACATTTAAAAAATAACCTTAATGTTTAAGTAACCTTAATATTTTTAGTAACTAAAGAAAATTGAAATTTCTTTTAAATTTTGTTGAAACTGATATTGAATTTAGAATCTCAAACTTGGTAACTAAGCATGGTGAAATAAACGTTATCATATTTGAAGATGATATATTTTTGTTTATACACACCATAAAAATAGTAGAACCGGACCTTAAAAGTAAAAAAAAAAAAAAAAAAAAAAAAAAAAAAAAAAATAATAATATGGCCGGTTAATCCAAAAAAGTACGCAAAAGTCATTTATAGCTAGTAAACCATTTAAATTCAAAATGTACGTATATACTAAAGGGGCTAGAAAATATTAAATTAATACACCACCCGAATGTTTTGAAGGTTCGTTATGGGAGCATAGAGCTGCAAAACGAGGAAATCCTTCAATATATTGGTTATCCTACAGGCAAATGGACACATAACTTTCAGCAGAATGGTCCGTAATTTGATTTTGTTTGGAAATGTAGGATTTCTGTATTCTATAGCCCGTTAACTGGCATCCCAAATGTTTTACATAATGCTAAGATCTGGTTATTAAAATGACCAAGTCAAATTCATATGACTGTTCTTCTAACCATAAATTATTATTTAGACTTGTATGGCTACGCACTGCCTCTTGTTAGAAGAGGTCAAACCTACAAGAATGAACGAAGAATAATGGGTTAACTCACCAGAAGGATTGCGCGATGCCCATTTAGTGTTCACCTGTCACAGATGTTTGTAAACGTGCCAAATGTCTCATGAATAGCAGCTAAACAACCTCATAATATTACAGAGCCCCTACAGTCTGTGTAGATTCATAGGGTTTTCTTCACACACAGCTCATTCCATCTGTCCGAAGCAGGGCCGGCGCTAGGCTTTTTGCCGCCCAGTGCAATCACTTCGATTTCTAGAATCTGCTGCCCAGTAATTTCCAAAATTTTAGAAATTTTGCCGCTCCTAGATTCTGCCGCCCGGTTCGGCTGCATCTATTGCACATGCTCTTGTAGCCGGAGCTAATCAGACCGGGTTATTCATGCGCAGTACTGTACCGCCTAATGCCGTGTGTGTACTTTTAGTAACCCTATAGCATGAACAGATTCTTGATCAATGATGTTGATCATTTCCATCCTTTTTTTTTTTTTTTTTTTCTTTTTGTAGGCAAAGTTTTTGCCGTAATTTCAAAGTTTTGTCGGAATTCTTGCAGTCGCGTTACACTTTTGAAATAGTCACATCCGACAATTAATATTTTGCCTGTACCTTCAAAATGTGACCCAGCTCAAGAGTTCTAATTGTTAATCGCGTTAAAATACCACTTAAATCTTAATAACTTGCTATTCTCAGTGCAAAAGTTCTAGAAGCTTTCACGGATGTTTTTCACTTTATATACACACTGGTAGACTCAATCAGTTACATGCACAGGTAGTATTACTATGTATTCTGCATTTGCCAGTTTTCAGTGTATATTTCGTACGCCGATATATATTAATTTGTCATTTAGTTAAAACATGACTAAATCAAATCAATATAAATATATAGGTAATTAAAGAGAACGACCATCAAAATTATTATAGTACACTGCTAGACATTAAAATTGCTACACCATGAAGGAAAACAGTTAGCAGAATCATATTTATATCAGAAACGCATTATAATGAATAGATGAAACGTTTAAAATTTCAGAAAATTTCGAGATGCAAAACATCCAGAAATCAGTACTCCAGACATACCATTGTGGTAGCAATAGCAGCTATTATATAGTTGGGCATTTAAATCGAATAGACTCTGGATGGTAGTTGCAGTTATATGCATCTCCAGTTTTGCGCCACAATTCATCTGTTGTACTGGTGGATGTTGTTGTGCCAGCCTTTGTGCAACCATTGACCAGAAATACGGAGAGCCTGCAAAAGCAGGAGTCAAACACCCTATATATTGAGGAAACGAGGGGTAGCATGCCGTCTCTTACTGTCCTGTCGAAAGATCCAGCGATGGAAGACCCAAAGATATGCCACAGCTATAGGCATTAAGACCTCAGTAAAAAAGTGGTTTGTCAAAGTATAGATACGTGGACTAGGGATGAACAAGATGTATACTCAGTGGTATTCCATGACTTCAATCCAGATGCTGGGACGGTATGGAGATGGAGAATGTAAGATTCCATTGTTCGTTCCCCTCAGTGCCTCCACATACAAATAGGCCATCATGATACCGTTTCTTATCCTTTTTAGTGATTAGCACCCCCGTATGAATCTGAAGGTAAGTTCTCGCTACCTCTTAAAAAATTCTTTTCTATTATATTCTTTTTATTTCAGAAATTAAATTTATAGCAAGATAATTTATTTATTGAAAACTGAATAAATACCGTATATACCCGCGTATAAGTCGAGATATTTTGGACAAAAAAAAAAAAAAAAAAAAAAAAAAAAAAAAAAAAAAAAAAAAAAAGACCTCAAAGTGGGGGGGTCGACTTATACGCGGGGCCATAAAAAATTAAAAGAATCGGAAGTTCAAAAATTTCTTTATATAATGCAGTTGTTTTCTTCCCGCACTCAAATTGGACGACTTATCAAATAAGTCACTTACTTGAAGTAATTTCATGACTTAAATTATGTGACGAACTAATCACAGAGTTTCATACTTGAACTAGAGTAAAATTCGATAAAACGTACGTATAAGTCTTTATAATAGTTATTGTTCATTCATGAAATACTTTTGTTAACAGGCGTACACGTCAAAATTAAAAAAAATAGCCCACGCAATAAATGAACAGTTTTGAATATTTCTTTTAACTTTTAAAAAGGGGAAATGCAGATAGATTTTACGTACGCGAATCTTTTCCGGAACAAATTCTAGAAGCAGGATTTTGATTTTGTTTATTTACCAAGGTATTTTTTATCGTTTATTTACTTTTTTTTTCTCAGATGATTTTGAATAAATGTAGTACTTAAAAAAATTTTTTTCGAAGTTTCTCGATCAATTTCGGAAGTGGGGGGGTCGACTTATACGCGGGTTTCTTATTTTCTACGAATTTTTTATGTCAAAGTGGGGGGTCGAATTATACGTGGGTATATACGGTACATACATTTACGTTGACATATAAAACAATGTATCAAATTTTTAATGGCTATGAAGTTGTTTATTCATAATAATACTTTAAAGTGAGATTTCCTTTTTCTTTTTTAAAGCGCCTCGATAAGCCATTACTTGCATTCAAACCATTTTCGATTTTTGTTTTTATGTGCAAAAGTGATTAAAATCCTATTTCTCACTAGTAAATGGTGGCTTATATTAAAAACGTCTGCGGTGCTGTTTTTGTCAGCAATAAATAGGATTAAACCATACACACCACAGCTGTTTTACAGCATTTGAATATGATCTTTTGAATATTGTCAGCATTTGAATATTGTCTCGTATTTCAATAATAACACTTTTATCAAATTTCTGTCGTCCATCGAATTTGGGTCAAATAGGCATGGATCCAGCATCTGCATGTAAATGTGGCTAATATTTCCTGCGGTACAATATCCACGAAATGATTCACTCTGTTGTTAGGATTGCAATTTCATGTATATTTACTATTTTCTCATTTTCTAGAACGAATGAACCACGTAAAGGAAATCTGCAAAATTCCCATTTCTAAATCGACGTCTCTAAATTTTCAGTTTTTCAACAAACGAAGATAATTTTTCACTAGCTGTTAGTATATTCTTGCATATATTCTTTGCACTGATGTGTTTAATTGATTTCAGGTTGTAGAGTTCCTCACTTTGTAAATGCTAATTTATAGTTGAACGTGAAGGATTTTAAGAACTGATATGCGAATAATCACTTGAGTTCGTGCAACAAGAAACAACAAGATGGAAGGGTAAATAACCCTTTATTATTCAGATAAGATTTAAGAGAACTCCGTCTTGGAGCGTACAGTAAAAGCCGACACTTTGGGCTTGAACTTAAGATACTAAGAATTAAACTAAACAAATCTTAACTAAAGAGATATAGCCGAAGCTATCAAGATTCTAACCGAGTTGGCCCCTTAACGCTAACTGACTGCGAAGCTATCAAGGGCCTGAGTACGGCCGAGCGTAATAACAGCTTTGAGAGACAGTAGCCAAAAAGGCGGACGCGCGCTAATCAGAATCTCTGATTCTCTCTAACTCAGCAAGCAGAACTTCGCGGTTAAATACCGCTCTACCTCATTATATATTCAGACGTGATTCGAAAATTACGTTCTGGCCGGAAGTAGTAAGTTGAAGTTAAGAATTTGACAGGAAAGAAGTTGTTTTCAAACTCAAAATTTAACTGTTAATAAAATTAGCATAACCCTTACAAGATGACTAAACATAGATTTATTAAGTAGGCTAGTCGAATGGAGTTGATTGGTCGGAATAATTTTTCACTAGCTGTTAGTATATTCTTGCATAGCATTCTTTGCACTGATGTGTTTAATTGATTTCAGGTGACTAAATATAGATTTATTAAGTAGCCTAGTCGAAAAAGGATTCTCTTTTTTCCAAAAGTTTTAACTAAACCGCAATCTTTATAAGTAAGAAATTTGTAGACTTTCGTCTGGCAGTTCTAGCATGTGGCCCTTGGAGAACTACCGTGTGATAAAGAAGCACGTTTGAACTGAAAGCACAAAAGTGTGTGTGTGATTATGGCAAAGCCTCGAGGGCTATCTGCCTAAGGGGAGGGATGCCTTCGTGGAGGACTTTCTAAGGGAAACTGGCTCGTATACACGTTACACATGGGGAAAACCAGGAAAACGCCCATGCAGCCAGCCCGTTCGCGGGATTCGAACCTCGGACCGAACTACCAGTGTTCAGCGACTTTACCGCTCGGCCGCTGGTGGGCCCCGAAAGCACAAAAGATAGAATGATTAAGCGCTATAGTATTTGACAATATATATACTGTAGAATATCTCTAAGTTCTTAAATCGTTATTTTATGCTAATTTCCTCCTTTCATATCAGCCTCGTTTCTATTTCACTCCCAGAATGTGAATTTCTAGTTCGCGTGATATTCAAATTAGGTACAAAGTAGAGAGTATTTAAAGGAAGGTTTTGGAGGATAAAATCAGAGCGTGTTCTGCCTGCTTGGATGCCAATTTTGCTGACTTTGATTATCTTGCGTTCAGTATTCTGCGGCATTGAGTTGTTCTTGCGCCGACTTCGGTGAGAGCCACCTTTCGCGCTAATTATATTGTGAAGCCATTAGGCTATACTTAAATTTCATTGGTTTTAGTTCACTCATTACCTTTGATTTAAAGCCAAAGCTATTGGCTTCTGTAAGCAAGAGTTGGTGCCGTCTGTTAAACTTTATTTGGATCAATAAAGGGTCCTTTACACCCTTTCCTTGTCTCTGTAAGTACTTACGAAACACTGTGAGAACTCACCAACAGTGGCGTAGCTAGGGTGGGGCAAGGGGGACATCTGTCCCCGGTCGCAGCCTTCAGGTGGTGCCAAATTGATGCTACGAAATTTTTTAATGAAATGTTCTTCATTCTTGGCACACAGAAAGGGGCGAAATTCTTCAGTTGTTCCCGGGTGCTGGAATCCTAGCTACGTCACTGCTCACCAGTTGTCTTTTAAAGTTCTGGTCAAATTTTATGCTACCTAAGAAGACCAGATCCTGCAATACATGCAAGTTCATGATGGTGCTATATGCAGTGCGTTCTTATAACCTGCGGTATTACTGCCTTAATGTACGAAAAAAATCAAAACCAATGTCCGTTGGCTGATTCGCTTTTAAAGCGGCTCACTATGTGGCTTTGATATCCTCTTCTAATTGTTTTAAAATACGATACTGAGATCTTGAATGCGCGATTAAATCAACATTGTTCGATAACGGAATCCAGTGAATTTCCTTTCGTGTTCTAGCAGAATAACCTATATTTGCAGTGGTAGTCCCTTAAATGAATGATAGATGGCGACAGAGGAGGGGACTAATTCCAGAGTCGTAATTTTCTGAGTGGGAGTACGAGTGAACTGGGAAAAGGGGATCGAGCTAAAAGCGACCAATCTCTATCAAATGAAAATTTACAAGTTAATTACTTATTAATTGGTGAGTGCACAAGAAGTGAAAGGAATTAATTAAGTAACTAATCGAATGAAAAATCGCATTTTAGTCTGTTTTTTTAATACGTTTTCAGGTGTCACTACACATTTCTTGCCATGCCTGCTTGGCATGAAATGCAATTGCATATCCAAACAAGTTCTTCCTTTCATGCTGATTTCTAGGTGACTGAGGGCTTTCTTCACGTCATAGTAATTTTGATGATCAGCAGGGTATGTATAGAATTACAATGACACAGAAGGGACAGGTAACAATCAATAACTGAAATACAAATTCGAAACATTTCAAACAATGATTGCTCTTTTTTCTATACTTTAATTTGTAGTGACAGACAGTAAATAGAGACATGTTTTGTCTTTGAATAGGATGAATCTCGATTTGGCAACGAAGACTTGATTTATATGAAAACGTTCTTGATGAAAATATGGCCTGTTAGATTAGAAGTTGGTTAGAGCAGACCCGAATAAAAGGGGACTGCTGTTATGTCCTGACAAGAAACTGAAAACTAGATTTCATGGAGAAAAAAGTTACAGGCTGTTTAAAAGGGAATCCTTTTACAAATGGTACTCAACTTCCATAGTTTTAAATGTTACAGCTTCTGAGTCACTTAGAATCACTATCAGTCTTAAAATTATGTGTTTCTTAATTAAGTTTCAAGTCTATTTTCAGATAAAATGTTTTACTTACCTTCTATTATGGGAATAACATCCAGTCTATCTCCGATATCAACAATTATTCCCGATTTTGAATTGTAAGCATGAAGGGATAAAATTGCTTGGTGCGTTATGTTGATGCCTTTAACTTTAAAATCATCTAGCAGCATGCGCGCTACTTTTAGCTTTGTTTGCAAGCTCAAATTCCTTGGTATGCTAAGTTGAATCTAAAATAAATAATTTATATTTGCTTGATTTCTGTGTTCACTTCATACTGAAATTAATTCATAAAAATACCATTAAAACTTTTCTATCAAAATGTAATCAAGTTGCAGATATCATTACAAAGATGTCTCAGACTGATACAATAATATACATATAAAGAGTAAAAATAATTGCCTCAATGCGTATAGTTTATAGCTGAATGGTCTTCATTTTTGTTTCTTACAAAATAAATTATAAAAAAATTCTACGTATGGGGAAAAAATCATACTTCACTTTAAACCTGTTCGAGAATAAGAGAATTATTTACGAATACGTTTGAAGGCATTTTATATTAATTAACTAATCATTATGATTTAAATCTTTAACTTCTTTCCTTTTCCTCTCACAGGATGCAGATGAGGTTGAAGAGTATTAAAGGCAAGCGTTTTGAATGTTTTATTCAAAGAGCTTCTGCCAGCGGTTCTACCGCCTTGTTCTACCTATGAATATTCCAGCATTAGTCATTTTGCTAGCGCTCGCTAAAGCGAGCCATTAAGGATTTGAGCCATCTTTGTTAGGCCAAATTTGTGTAGTATCTGGCTAAGATCTTTATTAAACTGTAAATTCAACTTACATTATTTTACTACCGCAAATGGCGTTTACATTGAAGTTAAATAAAAGTTTCATTTAAAACCTTTATAGGATTTTGTTGTATTCCCATTAGACAAAGCGATAACTTGCTAATTAGTCTACTAGGCTCTGAAAGATTGACTTAATATTACACAGTTAGGACTATATTGTTTATAAATTATTATCAAAGAACATTTCTATTACCCAGTAAAGTTGAATTTTTTTTAATGACCTCAAAAATATGTTTGGTTATCGATTTGGAAATATTTTGCTCAGAGGCCAAATGTGTTTCATGTTTTGGATATTTAATGACACGAAAACTCTACAACATGCAAGCACTGCTATCCAGATTCGTAGAGCTTCCGTACTACAGTTTTTCTGCAATGGCATAAGTAAACAATCATTTATTAAGTAAAATATTGAATAATATTTCATGGAAACTACGGTATATAAAAATTTAAATCTTTGTAGACTGAGAAACCTAAATGAGCTGAGATTTGTAAGTGTATTGAAGGTTTTCCAGCATCCTTATCTTTTTAGCTATATAGAGGTTATTCCGTGTCATTTTTACCCCTATGAAAAATGGATTATGCAATGCTGATGTATAATTTTTGTTTTATTGCTCTTTAATTTATTTAGTTTATTTCAACTATTTTTGAAGATTGTTATTGAATATGCTTCTGATATTTTCATACAAAGCCATATAATGAAACAATATGTAAAATAGCCATATAATGAATGAAGATGTAAAACAGAGATTTAAGGGCTAAGAAGTCTGCCTATCTTAAATCATCAAACTGACAGAACAAAATCCAGTGTCAGAGAACAGCTTAGGATGCTCCGAAATTAAGTGTTGTTAAACTCATATATTTTTCCTTTTCTTGTCGTTCTCGATCAGAGCATCTCTTAGAGAATGATTGATACACACAGTCCGATTCAAACAATCCGAAGTCCTAGACACAACGTTCTGTCAGTGGCCCTCATGCACTCACTTTCCTTGTTTTCAGAAGAGAAAAGAAGTTTATGAGGAGTTATCATATGATTTTGAGGACATCTTGAATCTGTGGTACTAGACACGAGGTTTGTACACGTAGGCAATAATCAAGCCCTACTGGTAACTTTAACAAAGACCTGTTTATAGTTTATTATTGACCAATATTTAAGAATATCTGAGAGCATTTATTTCATAATTGCTCTCAGATATTCTTATAATGATCTCTCAGATATTCTTAAAATTGTGATCTAAAATGACGAACTGTCACCCAAATGATGAGATGGATGAGGCATGGCAATAGAAAGGTACTGCCCCTTTCAGGACGAAGCATAAAGATAAACATACACAAAAAGCTAACTAAAATGCTTTTGATATTACGTGGTATTAAGGTGTTCAGTTACAGATGCTTAAGGACGACTCCTTGTTTGCATCCCCCACCTTCGTCCAGAAATTAGTTACACGGCCAACTTCATTTAGAGAAATTTAAATCTCATATTCTGAGACCGTGCCAAGCAATTCCAATGAAGAAGATAATCAAAATTATTCTCATGACTGAGCAAAATTCAGATAAAACTGTTTCGGGTACCAGAAGGAAAAAACCAAATAAATCTTCTAGTATCCAAAATAGTTTTCTCCGACTTTTGACTGTACCAGGAGATCAATCCAGTCATATCTTTTTCCATGATGTTCGGTAAGAAAAAGACAAAGTTTCATTTCCTGATGACAAACGTTTTAGTTTTTCAATATGCGATACAATGTAGATTTCAGTGGCGTAGCTAGGGTGGGGCAAGGGGGCACATCAGTCCCCGGGCGCAGCATCCAGGGGGCGCCAAATTGATGATACACATTTCAGAATGAAATGTTTTCCATTCTTGGAACACAGAAAGGGGCGCAAAATCTTAAGGTGTCCCTGGGAGCTTAAAACCTTAGCTACGCCTCTGGTAGATTTATAAATTTTAAAATCCTACTGACTTGGCTGATATTTATAACTGAGTTGTTTATTCGAAATGGAATCCATTTTCCCTAATATGAAAAATGTGCAATGGCCTAGTCAGGATTCGAGCTTCGAACCTGCCGACTGCTAGCCTGGCCCACCAGTGGCCACGTGGTAAAGTCGCTGAATACTGGTAATTCGACCAAGGTTCGAATCCCACCCCTTACGCAGATAGCCTTCAACAGCTTTGCCATAAACAACTGCTAGCCTAGTGCTTCTTATTACACTACGAAGGAAGGCGAACAATTCTTTGCATTCTCTCTCACTTAAAGAGCGACTGAGAAGGCAGAGACCAAGTTCCCGAATTTAGGTAGGGATGAATAATTATCCTCTCATCCACCCCGTTTTTAGTTCGGGTGCCACTTCTTCAGCAATAGGTTTTTTTTTTTTTTTTTTTTTAAAGTCTTAAATATTTTTATGGATAATGCCATCAAACTAAAATTTAGGTTTAGGAAAGGAAATTTCGTAATCAAAGTTCAACAAAGCAAATACATTTTCCTTTAATTTTGGAGCCGCAGTAGAAATTTTCTGATGAAATCTAACGAAATTGAACTAAATCGAAGTTTTATCAAGGAGTTCTATCAGTTTAGATTACTACTTCTGTCAAAAAGTTTTAAAACTTTATTAAAATTTTGTCGAAATTTCTATACGAAATGCTATAAAATCTGAAAGAATTTATTTAAATTTTATACTTGCCCCATTAAGACTTTTGATTACATACGTATGAAACACTTTTAAAATGGCTGTATCGTTTTGGAGTAGCCATAATGAAAATACTTCAAGTATATGCTAGTATTAAAATAAATTAAGCTTTTGTGATTTACTTAAATAATTAATTCAATAATAGCCTTAAATTATAATAATTACCTTAAAGTTTTCTGGAGAAACATTCAGCTCTTGAAAGACATGCTTCAATAAATCAGGCAAAATAGAAACATCTATGCTGTACTGAAATTATAAAAGAGAACGGTTATGCACCTTCTAAAGCATACGTCTAATTATTAATTCTCAGTTTTCTAATAGAATTTTAATAGAGATAAAATTAATATTTCTGAAATATCTGTATCTTATATAATATTTAAGAGAATGGAATATGAAAACTCTTGAAATGTTCATAACAACTTGAGAGATATTATTCTAAGGAATTACTGTGCTATAACTTGTAAAGTTGATAACAACTTTACTGAATAAAAAATGTCTTTAAATTAGCCCTCTACGTCCGTCCAGCTGAAAGGCATCGTTTAGCGATTAGAAGCAAATGAAATTCCCATTTGTCCGTGCTAATGAATGCACGGATAATCCAAAAAATGATCCTGTAAAATTCTTATTAATACACGAGTGTCATATGAAAGAGGTTTTAAATGATCAGATGATGTATAATATCCTGGAGAAGACCGAGAGTGCTATCTGTCTAAGAGTAGGGATATCTTTATGGAGGATTTTCAAAGAGAAACTGGCTCCGGACGAGCTACCAATATTCAGCAATCTCTCTACTTGCAGCGATGAAATTGCCTTCGTAAAATTCTGTGCCTCGTTTTGAGAAAATTTCTAGCCAGAAGTATTTTGTTGAACATTTAGTATAAGAGTATGAAACTTGATTAGTTTCTGCTAACATTTGTCGATAATTACTGTAAGTAATCAATGAAAATCATCCTTGTATTAAAAATATATTTGTATGAAGAGTATTTATCTATCGAAAAGTTTCAGTGTGTTCATAAATAGAATGGTGGACAGGATTCGAAGCTTTGCGATAACAAATGTCGCACCTGCATCTGAAACTGGGTCCACGAACACTTTTGTGTTTCAACTCATTATAGATGATATACAAATTCTCTAAACACATAACGTGGTTAATGCTACTCTGAGGTTCGATTCAAGGCGAACGAGTTGGCTGCATAATTAGTTTTCCCCATGTATAACGTGAATACGAGCCGGTTTCCTTTAGAAAGTCCTTAACAAAGGCATTCTTTCCTTAAGCTTACAGTCCTCGTGAACTCTGCCATATTATGTTAATCTAATTTAAGCTAACCTATTCCAGTACGTTGAGAAGATTTATTGCATTAATATGGCTGATCAGTATTAGCAGAAAATCACTGATATTTGATTGAAAATTGATGCATTGTATCAGTAGGAAGCAAAATATATTTTAATGAAATAGAGTTTCGTTTTACAATCTCATTCTTGTGGCTTTAATGATCCTTTAATGATTTACATAACCTGTACTACATAGTAGATTATTTCTGGGTTTGTTGATGAGCATCAGCTCCAAGAGGTAGAAGGATCTGACCAAAATATGTTTGATAATTTTGCAGCTGGGGACAGTTGTATCTTCTTCCTTCAAGGCGAGAGAAGTTATTTTAGTATATTATTGATGATGAAACACATATTGCTTTTTTAAATCCTGCGCGATGATCAGAATATTAAGTGAGAACACACATTGTTATTAAAAGTAGATGACATGGGTAGAAACCAATTCTGAGATAGATATTCCTTCAATGGCAAGATTACTTCATTTAATTCATTGCGTCATTTTTTAACGTAACTGTATGCATATCTCCTCAGCATTCTGCCCAAGAACGGATTGTGTTCGTTCTGTTCGCATTCTCTACACAAAAAAGAGAAGTTTGTTAAAAAAAAAAAAAAAGATAAATTAATGGGAAAAAATCATTCAGAATTTCGAGGAAATCATGAATCAGTTTATTTTCAAGAAAACGGAGAAATTTAACAAAAACTTAAACCTTTTATTTAATATAATGAAAGAGAATATAATGAAGATAGTAAATATTTCTGAAATTAAATGACTCCTAATTAAAATCCAAATAACCTTGATTTCACTTATTACGGAGAATTATTAGGTAGATCAGTATTAGGATATAAATGAACATAGCTTTTCATATTAAACTGAAATTAATAAACTTCCTTTTATGATACTTACCAAGAAAGGTATATTATTAGAATACTCTCCAGTATTATTAGAATACATAAGAATTACTTTTTACTAACCTTTTTTAGAACCAGAGATTCCTTCCATTTATATACTGTTCTCAGATTAAAGAAAAATATACTTACCTGTTCCGAATATAAATGATTCAGTTTAAAATAAAATTTTATTTTGTATAGCCTTTTGTGCTTCAAAGCCAAGCAAAATGTGACGCATGAAATCACCAGTTTGCCAGTTTACCATGCTTATTATTAAAAGTTAATTCTTACTTTCCAAGATTTAACTTAATTAGTAAAATTGCAGAAATAGAAATATAATAAGCCTAAAAGTACTTTACAAAACATATCACATGGCTTTTTTCTTCTCAAAAGAACTAGAAATAATTTTTAAATCACTTTACAGATTTATTACCTTTGCCTCAATAAAAACCTAAAAATACTTTACAAAACATTTTGCATGGCTTTCTTATTCCCAAAAGAACTAGAAATAATTTTTAGATCACTTTACAGATTTATTACCTTTGCAACTTTTCCTGAAGGACGTAGTGGAAAAGATAATTGGCAGTCTTTGCGATTACTTGGTTTAAGAGCTTCTGCACCAAACATTTTCTTTTGGCTAAAAAACAGAGAAGAGAAGATAAGAAAGAAATCTAATTTCTTTAAGACTCTTAAACTTCACTTTAATAATCATATACAGAGTTGTATCATAAAATAGGCAAAAACAAATACAGCAGTTCTGTGGCTTGTTGGCATGAATTCAGTTATACCAGCTCAATAATATGAGCTCAACAATACGAGTATTAATTGTATTACAAAATCATATACTATCTCAACAATTCGAGTTTCAAAAATTGAAAGAGGCCAACAATCCATTTTCAAAGCAAATTACAGCCCCATTTTATTTTAGTGATACGGTAATGTTGTACATCAGCCGATCATTCATTTTCAATTATTTAGCTTATATGATGACGTTTTGTATAATATTCCAGCTCATACCCCAAAATACATATGTGTAAACTCCAAATATGTTTATAATAAGGGATAGTTTATATTAGAGGCGAAAATGGAGTCTCTTTTTTTCCATGCTTGAAAAGCGAATACAACTTACATGTATAAGAAATTCAAATCTTGCACTACTGGAAATTGGCATTTAATGCTGTGGATAAACAAGTGAAAGATTTTTTTTTCTTTCAATAAAGTTTAGGTTAATCTACTACGGATCAAAACTATAATACGAATGTAATTTTTTCGCGAGATCTCTCAGAATGAAATAATACATAGTATTTTCTCTGCACATTCCTATACTGAAGGTATTTAAAGCATGGAAGTAAGATGGAGTGGCCCTAACCGGTTTTCCCCATACACTGCTTTGAAGCAATGGCGATCCCTTCGCGATGACCAAAACATCGGGTCATTTACCATTAAGTTCAATGGGTTTTGACACGATCGGATGTAAAACATTTTGTAATTGCTTCGCAAATAAATACATATATTTTCTTTTTCTACAATATTTCAGAGTCCTAATTATGTGAAAAGAATACATTTCTAAACAACATTTCATTCTGAACGCAATTAAATGCTATACTTTTCACAGAACAATTCGTTCAGAACGGTTTAATTTGAATGAAATATTATCACAAGTTTTCCTTAATTACATTAGGAAAAAATTTTAAGATACTTTGATTTTATTCGGTTAAGGATTACAAAAATTAAGATCAAAGTTTATTGTATTATTAATATTAAAATTGTGCATTATTTCTTTTCTATTTATAGAGCTTCTTCCTAAAATACTTTCTCAAATATTATAAGATTTTTTAGTTTCTGAGGCATCTTTTGAATCGAAAAATCTAAGTCAATTTATAATTAATGCTCTATTCAATCCATTTCAAATTTGAGCACCTTTTATTTGAATACCGAAATACATTAAATAGTACTTAACTTTCTCTGAATATTTCTGAAAGGGAATAAAAAAAAAAGATTACTTAAAAATATTATTAAAAAACTGTAACTGAGTTATAAAATGTAAGAGGAATAATTATTTTAATTATATTTATCAGATTTTTTTACCCCTAATTTCAACAATACGTATTCTAAAACTCTTCTTTATTACTTTCTTAAGTACACATCTCATAGAATTTGCTTTACAACACCTTTTAACAGATTGCTTTCCAGATTGCAAGTCTTTCTTAAATAGTTTTATAACGTATTTGTCAACAGGATTTCAATATATGTTTACAATGCAATGTTAATGTTATTATATATTTAGAGAATATTTATAATCATTATACATTTAGATACATTTAGTAATTAGATTTTTTTACAGTAACTTTCACAGGTTTTTATGAATAAATAAATCCTTCATTTCAAATACATTTATAAATAGTTTAATAAATATTTACGTAAAGTCAGATACATGCTTTTTGCAAGCATATGCATAAATACCCATACGTATTTCATATTTTTTATTTCTGGCATGTGCAAATCTTTAATTTCTGTGCATTTACTATATTTTTCGAGTAAAGTAAATTACAATAATTTAGCATATACCCGAAAATTGTACTTAAGAAATGCGTATAAATATAAAATTTGAATAAAAATTACATGCATTATTTTTAATACTCATTCAAAGGTCAGTGTTTCTTCGAAATTCCTCCACGATGGCATCTCTCACTTTAGGCAGATAGCCCTTGCACGCCTTATGCTATTTAATAAAAACTTAACCTGACCTATGTGCCTAATTACAAATATTTTAACATGCATAATTTTATATTTACATTTAGCCATCAAGTTTCAAACTTTTGACTTGAAACACATTTTAGGATACATTCATCATAAAATTCAAATCTTCTAGTAAATATATTGCGGCGAAATAGAAAATTTCGCCACTTTTTAATTACGATACTGAGAGCAAATATTGTAATGTGCTCCAGTTAGCCGTTCTTTGTCTATGAACGAGACCTGCGTACGTTAAGAAGCGAGCATAAAGCTCGAATTTCCGAGAAAAGAAGACTTGTGTGGGAAACATTTAACAACCTTGAATCAATAAGAGGACCATTCATGATCGGACCTCCTTTGGCAGGATACACAATTGTTTTCATCTCCGTCGATTACCCTATTTTCAAATTCTTAATAAGCTGCTTTGATGATGTGGCACGTTCACATGGTCACATCATCTTGACCATATATGGTACTTCCGCGGAATTCGCAAATGTATCCGGAACACACAAAGATATTCACACAAAGATATCTTAAATATAAAAATATATCTTAAATGTATAAATAATTTTGGGCATTAATATATCTTAAGATATTCGCCCATATACAGAACAAAGGTAATTTTTTGCGATAGCTTTTTCTCTCAGTTTTATATGCGTGTGGTATTTTTCATGCTCAACCAAGTCAGATAAGGTATTCTGCTTAAAAGCAATTGAAACTCTCGCATCATAATCCTGTAGTATGATTTTGTTCTGACGAAATCACGATTTTACTTTCAAAAAAAAGGAAAATGAGCAGAAAATAAGATTTTAATTCGAAAATTTCCTCCCGGGAGCTTGGTTATTCTCGTTTCTCGAAATAATCATCTATTTCAGAATAATCCAGTTTAGGAAACCCTGGACTAATCACTCTTCTTGCAAAAATAACAGAAAACAGATATACACATACAATAAATGACAGTGACGATAAACAAGTAGAGATTCTACTCGGCAGAAAGCGACCCACTATAATGATGGGTTGAATTTGTTTAATTATTGAAAATCACGCAAAGACTATTTACCTAAGGATGGCGATATCTTCCTGGAAGACTTTCGAAGGGAAACTATTTCAGAATAATCCAGTTTAGGAAACCCTGGACTAATCACTCTTCTTGCAAAAATAACAGAAAACAGATATACACATACAATAAATGACAGTGACGATAAACAAGTAGAGATTCTACTCAGCAGAAAGCGACCCACTATAATGATGGGTTGAATTTGTTTAATTATTGAAAATCACGCAAAGACTATTTACCTAAGGATGGCGATATCTTCCTGGAAGACTTTCGAAGGGAAACTATTTCAGAATAATCCAGTTTAGGAAACCCTGGACTAATCACTCTTCTTGCAAAAATAACAGAAAACAGATATACACATACAATAAATGACAGTGACGATAAACAAGTAGAGATTCTACTCAGCAGAAAGCGACCCACTATAATGATGGGTTGAATTTGTTTAATTATTGAAAATCACGCAAAGACTATTTACCTAAGGATGGCGATATCTTCCTGGAAGACTTTCGAAGGGAAACTGGCTCATACTCGCATTACATATATGAAAAACCTTGAAAATGCGAATGCAGACTGCCTTTTTTCCGGGATTTGAGCTTAAGTCAGAAAAATCGGCATTCAGCAGTCCTATGCACTAATAATAACTAATTCTAATAACTCTCCATCATAATTAGCTGACCATTTCGGTCAGTGGCCTCCTAATTATGATGGAGATTAAGACTTAAGTAGAATAATTAATCCATCGATCATTTACATGTTTCATCACCGGGAGTATTGCCAAAGATGGACCACAAAGGCTGACTGATAATACACCAGCGGCAAGGAGGGAAAGACAATGCACATACAGCCAAGACGCGAAGACTTTGACTTCGTGTAAGCTGTTGCTGACTGACTGTGTGAGCAGAAAAAGGAATGTACAAAGAATGGGTGAGAAGGTAAACAAACAAGAATTTCGAGGAAAAAAACGTGTCATAGAAAGGATTGAATTTATCGATTCATCGCTTCAGTATTTCAGTACTTCAGAGGTACTGAGATACTGAAGTGATGAAGATAACTGTAACTACTCAGCAGAAAGCGATAAAAAGCATTCAGCGTTGCAACGCTAAAATAAGTTCTCAGGAAAGTATTAAGATCAGTTTTTATTTTACTATGAACATGCAGAAAAGAAAGAGTTTGGTTTATATTTTGTGGCAAGAACCAATGAAAAGAAATTGAAAGAAACGGCAGTACTTTGAATCTATTTAGTCATTAGCAATAAGGAAAATTCCAAAATCATCCCCCCCCAAAGAAAGATAAATAATTTGAATATTAAATATCTAAATAAGGAGTTCTCAATAAAGCTTTAGGATTAGTTTTCATTATTACTGTAAACATTTAGAAAAGAGAGAAAGTTTGGTTTATATTTTGTGGCAGAGGAGAAAAAAGACCTGAAACAAACCGAAGTACTTTGAATCTACTTAATCATTGCCACCAAGGAAAATTCCTAACTGATATAGAAAAAGATAAAATTTCATTTACAGCGTTAAGTAATTTACAAATAATAAAATAAAATTTGAATTAATGAAATAAAATCTACATTAATAGTGTTAAAATACACTTTTTTAATGTTTTGCCGTAAATAAATTTAAACAATTTGTTTGTTTTATAAAAAAGAACATTTTGAGTATAATGTTCGAGTATAATTCAGGATTTTGTGCTTTGCATTGCTATAGTATTTTAACGATTACATTTCTTCTTAATATACTGCTTACACATCTTTATTTTTAAAAGAATCTAATTCACCTAATGGGAGTAAAGAAAGCACATAGAATAATAGTTATAAGTCTCACCCTGTTCTTGAAGTTGCACATACTGCAGGGAAGAACAGCTGAGGCAATGTGGCTGAAATTATAATTTTTCAAAATTTATCTCAAAATGTAAGACAAAATATTATTAATTACTTTCTATAACTTATTGACATTTTTCTACATAAATAAGCATTTTAATGTAAAATACACTGTTTGATAGCCATGTTAAAATATTAAACATATATGAATTAAATGTAAACGCTTTGATCATCACAGAAAATTTCAAAGGGAAGAGAAACCGCATTTAAGAAAAATGAAAAGTACATCCAAACAGAAGAATCAGTATATATATTTAATAAAAAGTAATCATGTTTAGTTGAAATCCAGTTATAAAAATCTGCGCTGAGTACAATATTGGATTACAATAACAATGTATAATAAAAAAAACTACGAAATTAAACAGCAAAGGCTAGACCTACGTGATGACATGAGGATACCAGCTCGGACAGAACAGCTACCAAAATCAATAATGATCACATCCTGCAAAATAATTAGAAAACTAGTAAGAAAATAAGGAATGGAATAAGGAACACAGATTTTCAAATATTTGTAATGTTGAATTATGAAATTTTGGGGAAAACATATTTTTCGTAAGATATTCTTAGGTATGTGTGTAAACTGGTTTATACTCATTTATGTAAATAATATTTTGTTACAGTTTCTCTAGATAAGCGATTAGGGTATACAAACACTCTCATAATGTCAAAAGCAACGTATCACAAGGAGTTATCTGAATAGGACGAAAATCGGTAGCTGTGATGCGCATGTATTGGAAATGGAACGCTAACAATATAATAGGAATTGAATGTTTTATTCAAGAAATACAGATACAAGAGGGGGGGAAAAATCAATAAATTCGTTGGCCCACCAAGTGCAACCCGACTGCAACAAACAGTCGATTAATTTTTTAAATACATTTACAGTTCGGGAAAAAAATCGTGCAATGGCACAAATATTTATTAATTAGTAATTTAATTATTTTAATTAATTTACGTGAGTAATAATTTAATCAAGTTGTCCATTGCGCACTAATTATCACAGTAGCAAATAAAATATTAAATGATTCGATTTGTGCGAATTGTAATGAGCATATTATTTTAGACCAGTCAACGGCCATCAGGACAGTTCAAAACACAAATGTAAAGGCTAATTAGAAAATAATGTGCTGAAATTTTCCCCTCAGATGTTATTTTATTTCAGGAAGTTTCTACTTGCAGTTCATCTAGTTCCCCTGCTCCTCAATAATCACGACTGAGTGCGTTTTTATTTTATTTTTTATTTTTTTTTTCCCACGGACTGCTTCGTTTATTTTAGCCCAAAGGGCGTTAGCCCAGAAGGGCTATTAATTTCGTTGTGGCATTTTGCGTTGGTTCAATATAAATGTTATAAATGTCGGTTCACTTTTCAAATTGTTGCCACCAAATATTAGCCCTGTGTTACATTTAAAGAAATTAAATCTTGAAGAATCTAGATAAATGTATATGTTTCTCGCATTGTGGTAAAACAACGGTACCTAGAGCCATTCAAATTTTGAATAACGTAATCTTCCACTGAATATGGGCGTCTGGAAGCCCTAATTTGGAACTTGAAATCTGTTTTATTATGTATTTCATATTTTGTAACACTTTAACGAATTTTTGATTAATAAACTCAACGATTTCAAAGCGAGCAATGGCAATAGTGTACGAAAAAAGACATTTTTATCTCCAGCGCGAGACTGTGTATCGGAAATTCAAAAGATATGCTTACTTTAAACTTATTTTACCATATTGCTATTGAATTGAATTTTATGGTTTTAGTGCAAAGAATATAATAATAAATAAAGGCGGCACAGAAAACGTTAAAAAAATGCTCCTTTGAGCATAATGTAAAATCTGAAAGCTTTTCAGATTATATTTAAAATTTGTTTTTAAAGTTTTCAAATGGCTTGGACAGTCGCTTAAGAAACCTCTTTCAGGGAGAAAACACGCAATCAAGAAAGGGACTCTTCCAAATTAGACACATGTATTTTTTTAATTAGTATTTGGTTACCACTTTTCACTTCTATCCTTAAGCAGGATAGGTTGCTTTTGTGTCTTTTTCGGCAAAATGTTTGCAACCATTCAGAATAATATGCTGCAATCACACTCTTTCCGCCTTAACCCTTAAATGCATGAATTTTTATTTTTATTTTATTTTTTAATTTAAGTCAAAAATACGTTAGAAATGATATCAAATAAAATAGGAAAAATACTAAGTTTTTATTCAATTTTTCGAAAAAATATTATTGTTGCCAAATAGCTACATTATGCGAAAAAAAAAAGATAGGCAAATGTTTAATAACAGTTTTATGTGATAATACATACCTTATAAACTTGTTCAAATAATTTTAAAATATCGTACACAAATAATCATCAATCATATTTCAAAGGAAATATCAATTTTAATCGCCCCTGAATACACTTGGATGATTTTTTTTTTTTTTTTTTTTTTTTGCGTGACTTTTGTATGTACGGACAGAATAAAGAACTATTTTCTAAAACGAATTTTAAAATGCATTTAAAATGGATTCAATAGGAATTTTTTTTCTCAATGTCTGTATGTACTTATATAATGTATCTCAAATAACTCAAAAACAATTAGCCGTAGAACATTGACATTTTGTATATGGGACTTCAATAACATCTAGTTGTGCATCTCCCTTTTTCATTACAGTCGATAACAGGAAACTTCAAATTTTCACCCGGCCTTTATTTTCGTAGTCACTGGTCTAGTCATATACTTCCAATTACAGAAGAGTTTTAAATGACAAAAACACTCCTGTTTTAAATGCCAAATTTGGAGAAAAAAAAAAAAAAAAAAAAAAAAAATTCCGGCAAATAACGAAATCTAACTACATGCATAACAACAGCTGTAAGTTATTTATTTATTTTAAATAACCAGTTATTTTGTGTTCCGAAGCTATAGTGTCACTTCTCGCTTTTCACTTTCCTGCCAGAATCCAAGTTTAAGCTTGCGCGTATTTAAGTGGGGGTTTGAGACTGGTTCAGTAATAGCGTGTTCAGCTTGCTGAAGGCCACGTTACTGCCTACGGCATTGTTTTAATCTTGCAATTAGTGCTGTCACGCCGGTGTAGGTTTGATCCAACTTGCACGTTAAATACTTCTCCGTAGCCTTTGGCTAACTGAAGACTTAGATTAAGTTTGAATTTGAATTCTACATTTTGAGTTTACGCCATAAATGCTGGCTGGTTTTGTAAGCATCAGGAGTGCCTTCTGTTCAGCTATTTTAGTTCTTAATAAAAGGTTCTTTTACACCTTTCGCGTGTTTTTATTTGCGTTCTAGACATAGCAATAATTCGCTTAGTTTTACTAGAGCCTTGACTTAGTGCATGCTACCAAAAAGAGTGATCCTCTACACAGTTTATCTAGGCAGTTAGTCTAACAATAAATATCTAAGAATATTTAATATCAGTTTATTGTAAATATCTAAAAATATTTAATATCATTTTATAGTCATAAATATCTCAGTTTATTGTTGTAAATATCTAACAATATTTAATACCAGTTTATTGTTGTAAATATCTAACAATATTTTATATCAGTTTATTGTTGTAAATATCTAATAATATTTAATATCAGTTTATTGTTGTAAATATCTAACAATATTTAATATCAATTTGTTGTTGCAGCAAAAAATGTGCATAATTTAATAAAAAAAGTCACGTGGTGTCCACATAAGATTTTTTATTTTTACTTTTTAATTCATGTCACTTACAAAATACTTTTCGATTTATTCTGTTGGTAAGCAAGTCATTAAACTCTTTTTTGAAATGAAATAAAACTTACTAATTATACAATTTATTTTATATTTAGTTTAATTTATATTTTATTTACAGATTATAAATCAATTAAACCATTTAACTTGCTTAATAAGCCCCCCCAAACCAAGATAGTGGTTGGTGACGCTGGCTATCGTACCGAAAGCCCTGGGTTCGAATCCCGGAAAAGGCATGGATTTTTGTAAATGTATAGTGTCTATGCGGCATGGGGGACTCTAAATAAATATGCGGCCAGCCGAAAGTCCTCTCGAAAGGTTGGTGGTAGAGAAAGAGGGGTGAGAGACCCTCCGACCCGTCCCCCCGCTAAAAAATTTGGGGAGGAACCAAGCAAAGTCGTACTGTCACCTGTATAGTGCCCAAGGCTCTTGCAAACGATAGAAGCAATCTTGACCCCTTGCCACGATTAATTTCGTGGGCTTGCTCTGATATCAGAGAACTGATCTGATGTTACTGTCGATCGGGTAGGATAAGCCACAACACAACATTATTGCTTAATAAGATGTGATATTAATGCTTCAAGCTCACTTCATAAATATGCAGAGTATATTGCTTTATCAGAACATAAAAATATAAAGCATAAATGAGTTAAATGTAAAGGTTTTCATTACCATAAAAATTTGGAACAAAGGTTTCCTTTTCTTAGACACCGAAACCACATCTGAATAACATATCAGAATTATAAATTCTCATCTTTTCAAAGTTTTCATAAGCACCATATTTCTTGGATTGCATAACGCACACTTTTCCCTGTTTAAGTGTCACTTAAAACAAAGTTCATCTTTATTTCCCCTCGTTTCTTTACTAAAATTGAGGAACGCATAGTATAAACGGTATAAACGATAGCCCCTTAGAGTGCAAAAAAATATCGTGAATTATTGAAGTACTTAAAAGAGGGGGAAATTAAAAGTTTCTTTGCTACACTAACACATTTTTTGCATTGCTACTTATTAAATTAGATCTTTTATGAATTCCAAAATTTGTAACTATTTAAAATTAAGTTCATTTTATAAAATGACAGTTTCTTTCCCAAAGCAGAAAATTAATGCTATTTAAAGTGATTTAAATTGAGTTAATATTTAAAAGAATTTCAAAACACGTTCCGTTTAGCGCTTTTTTATAACAATAAAAAAATTTGAAAAATAATGCATTTTTGAAAATATTTTTTATTCCATAATTAGTTGCGAAAGATAATATATTTTATTGAATACAGGGTGGTCATATAATAGCTTGAAAAACTAATGGCGACCTAGGGAGCACGGAAAGCGATATATCTATCGCAATTCTAAAGAATAATTAAGATGACATTTACAAAAACAAGAGCAAATATCTGTTGTGGTTACAATTAACGAAATTAGAAAATTTCTAATACAGACATTGAAACTGCACAGTGACACGAGATTGATCGCATGGAGTAGAGATACTACTTAGTTCCTACTGGATTTCTCTTTTTTTAAATCACTTGCACATAGATTACACACCATGTAGTGTCATAGTTACAATAATGTGTCAATACTACTCACATACAGAATTTTAGAGTTCCGCTCACGTAATGCTATGCAAAATGCTTATTCAGATGCAGGATGATGTTTCACCGCATGTACACTGCTGGCCATTAAAACTGAAATACTAGAAAGGAAAGTAAATACAAAAAATATATTTATTACGCGTAAACAGTATGGCATGAAGACAAAATGATTACATTTCTAAGCATTTTGGAGGTTTACAGGGGTGCGAAATTAATGGAAATAGCTGCCATCCCTGGCAGCTAAAACGGCCCTTAACCCATTAAGCATTCGGGTTAAGGGCCGAGTCAAACTGGGTTTGGATGACAGAAATGGACAACTCATTCCATGCTGCTTCAAGTATGCCACACTTAATCAACTGTATTAGCTGGAGAGGGGTGGCGGTCCAGTCTCTCAGCAACCTATGACCAGATGTTTTCAATGGGTAATAGATCTAGAGACCATACAAGCTAGGGAGAAATCAAATACCCTGTGTATGGAGGAAGGTCAGAACACGACGTGCAACATGTGGTCTTCATTATCTTGTTGGAACATGGCGTTTGGGGGCCTCGAAGATAGGGCACAACCACTGGACCTAGGATGTCAGAAATGTACCCATCTGCGTTCAAATTACCGTGGATCCCGACTAAAGATGTGCGTGTCGTGTACCCAATGGCAAACCATCACACCAGGTGCAGGGCCCCTGTGCCGATCACGAGAGCAAGCACGCGACATGCGGTCTCCTCGGACACTCCACGTATACGGCCATCAGAACACTGCACGTAGAACCGGAACTCATTTGAAAAGGAGACATTGTGCCACTCCTGTACTCAGAGTACCAGAGTACCAGAGTCGGCGTACCAGAGTCGCCGTCTCTCTCTCTATGCTGCATTGTCAAGGGAAGCCGAAGTAATGGTCACCCTGATGATAGTCCACGCTGCTGCAAACGTCGACGAACCTTATGAGCTGATACTGGGCGTTCTGCAAACATGCCCATTTCCTGACGAATGGTCCGTGATGTGGTCGTACGGCTTACCTCACAATATGTCTGTCCTCTCTGGCGCTAGTGATGAAAGGGTGTTGAGATCCTGCATGCCGTTCCGTATGACTCTCAGCAATCCACTGATTCCATATTCGCATGATAGTGGTTGGATGTCGACCAGTTAGACCGGCGATATTATGGAACGATAATCTACACTTTCGATAGGCAACGATCCTGTCTCTACCGAATTTCGAAACTTGCTGGTAAGCATTTCCTTCTTCTTCGATTTCTTCCTCTTCTTCTCATGATATTCTGACAAAATCTAACCTTACAAAGCACTTTTCGAATGAGAAATCCACTACACAACTTTTCTTTTACGCAGTGCTTCAGAAGTCGTTTTCCCCTCATGCGTCGTCTAAATGCGCTGAAATACTAAGCATTTGCATATCCCAACTTCTTCCTTTCATCTGATTTTGAAGTTCATCAGATCATTCCTTTCTGGTGTTGCAATTTTAATGGCCAGCAGTGTAATTCTGAATGTGAAGCAATTGCTTCAAGATCATTTTGATAATCCCTTAATTTCACACTTCCAACTTCAGCACTTTTCCGACTAAAACTGATGGATCTTTGGCTGTGAATTTATCTGAAGTCCTAGGTCTACTGGAATAATTCTTGTCCAATTGAGAGGCTTGAACAAAAGTATTATGAGAAAATAGGAATTATTGATCATGTGCAATTTTTCCTCGATAATACCAGCGGAAGTATGAAACATTTATAACGTTTATATGTAATTTAAATGTTTTCCCCATTTTTATTTTCTATTTGATCAGTATTTTTCCGGTATCACTGTTAGACATATTTAAAAACCAATATCTCTGTTAATTTTCGCTCTACACATACTGTTTTAATGCTTTTTTTTGTCATACAAAATGTCGGGCCATGGTGATTCTTGATATCTGTATTGAAAATTTTCTAGATACTATTATGATAACTAAAACCGTGATATATATTATACAACTGTTTTTGTATATCATTAAGGCTTATCACCGTGAGTTATTTTGCAAAAAATGTGCAACGGATTGCTCGCTTTCTACGGGTCCAAGATCACCATTAAATTATGTTTGTCAGATTATGACAACCCTGTTTTTTATACAAACCACGCTTCTTCGCATTTATTTATATTTACGGAGGTATTGATTTCATTTTTAATATAATTAAAAAATAAATAGTTTTGGGCTAAAAGAATATGAAGAAGTTAAGGAAGCTGGATTACAGTTTGAATATGCGAACCGATTAGACTATATTCCGTTTGCAGAATTATTAGTTAGGGGTTCGAGATAGAGATCTTACATAATATAGAAAGACGTGTAATAAAATGAAGCTATATTTTCTGAAAAAAGCTGAAGCTCTCATTTATTTGTCGTCATCTACTATTTTGTAATGGAGCTTACCTGGTTTATTGGCAGAGGATGAAGACAAGGACTAGTGTAAGCATTCACGAAATCTTCAGCACAGTGACTATGAAGAGCATTTTTCCATGATGCTGTTTCTTCTTCATTAGGGCATTTTAGAACAACATAGTGGCCTTTCTGAAAATGAAATACCATTTGACACATGAATGAAATAATGTTAAAATTAAAACTTTTCAATTTCTAGAAATATAAGCATTAAGGACGTTCTGCTTCTAAATGAGATAATATAACACACAACACAACACAACTCCTCAGACAATTAAAGAACACTGAGCGATTATTTAAAAAAAAAAAAAAAAAACTAACGGAATATACTTTTGAGACGCAAAAATTAATTTTTTATTGTTAATTCTGATTTGCTATTTTTGTTTTATTATGAATCCGATGTAGTGCAGATCGAAAGCAAAGAAAAAGAAATATACTTATTTAAATATTCAAAAACCAAGGCAAAATTTCGATTTATTTCTTCGATTAAGAATGATATAAATGCATTAATTTGCATGTAGTAATAACAATTAGTATTAAAATTATAACAACGATAAAAATACTAAGAGTATATAAGTATTAGTATTTCGCTCCTGAAATTATAAAAATAATTCTGATGCCTTTGTATTTAGGACTGTGAATGATTGCCGCTACTTTCTTAGTATACTCATAGAAATGCAAGTTAATGCTGTTAATGAAGTCAGAATAATAATTTGAAAGCATGTTTTAGCAATAAACCATAATCAAAAGCACCAGAGACTATGTTAATATTGAGGTTGAATATAACTACATACAGCAGAGGAATCAGCAATGAGTATCTGAAAGTCATACTCATTTTTTACAAACAGTGACTGTGTTCTTCCATCGGTACATATTTCAGGAGTGTAGATAATTTTTTTCATTGATCAGATATTTATGCTGATATGCGTTTTATGTGGTGCAGAAGCTTTATCAACATTGAACACGAATACAGCTCTTTCTAGCCAGACAAGCCTCGAGGACTTCGCGATAATAAATTAATCAAAGAATTAAATCGTATGAGATATGGATAGAGCTAAAATGTATAATTATTAACTAACGGATAAATAAAAAAAATTATCAGTAAATACACAGGACAGACTTAAATCGAGAGACTTGTTAAAAGCGGCTAAGTAGCTAAGGTTGATAAGGTAGTAAGTCTTAAGTTCTTTATTCTCGCCTAATGGGCCAGGTACATAGTTTGGTTGGTTTTGCTTTGTTTGATTATACAAGGCACTAGAAGGCTATCTGCCTCAGGAGAGGGATGCCTTCGTGGAGGACTTTCTAAGTGAAATAATTCGTATCCGCGTTGTGCATGGAGAAACCACGAAAATGTCCTTGCAGCCAGCCCGTTCGCCTGGAATCAAAGACAATGGCTGCATGGAGGTTTCCTAGATACAAATATAGCAGAAAGAACTTCCCGATTGATAGTAAATTGAAGAATGATAATTTATGTCTAGCAATTCATTCACATTGAGGGGAAAAAAATTCTGCTTAGATGAGTTCAACCATTAAATTCATAAAAATCATACTGAGTTTCTTTTACCAGAAAGTGAATGAATTCTCTAGAGGTACTGAGAAGAACCATATATAAATAGAAATACATAATAATTAAATGGCTGGAAAATAAATAAAGTATGCTAAACTGAATTTGAACAAATATTAAATAAAGAAGTCATAGTTCCTCATTTTTAATACCAAAAATATCAATTGACTTAAGGTTTCAATAAATAAAAAATGTACACATATCTAGAATAGAAAAACATACTTGATCATCTATCCCTAGCATGTTACTCTCTAAAGAATCAATATGGCCTCCCATCAGCTGCAATGTAGTAGTTGGCTTTTCGGATCGTATATTCTGTACAAAAGATAAATGTAAGTCAGTAGCTGTAAGAATAAAGCTTCATTATTGTTATATTTTTAATAGTTCTTCATAAGTACATTTTATATTAAGTAATTTTACCTAAAAACTCATTGATCTGCGATGGACGTAATAAAACTGATAAATACTAATCTGAAACATAATGAACTAACTTATAAGTACAAAAATTAAAACGTAAAATTTAAACTATACTGGGGAGAAACCATTACATATGGACGAATCTTGGGATGTAAGACGTTCACTACATCCAAAATTAAATGTGCAAGAAAATAAGATAATTGAAAATAAAAGGAAATATCTAAACGATGGAACACAAGAGAAACACATTATCAAGGTAGAGGTTTTAAATAACGCAGCGGATAATCGGAAAGGATAAAGAAACAGAAGGATAATCAGTAACATGAAAGGTGGTGTGGTGTATTTAATTATGGCAAAGCACACTAGGGCTATCTGCCTAAGGGGAGGGATGCCTTCGCGGAGGACTTTCTAAGGGAAACTGGCTCGTATACACGTTACACATGGGGAAAACCACGAAAAAACCCATGCAGCCAGCCCGTTCGCGGGATTCGAACCTCGGACCGAACTACCAGTGTTCAGCGACTTTACCGCTCAGCCGCTGGTGGGCGAACATGAAAAGTGTTAAAAAATCGCAGGAGTTAAAATGTAGTAATCAAATAAGTTACAACCACAAAGAACAGATAATACCCACACGCAAATAATACATCCAGTTAATGCATTGCGATTCAATATCTAAATCTCCCAATACTCAGGAAATTTACAGTTCAAATTAAAGCTTCAGTGAAATAATTTAACATTTCCCCAATGAGCAATGTGAAGAAAGGGATGCTAAAAGTGAGTTTGGATTTATTTTACACAAGGTGAAGTATATGCTTTTGAATTTGTTTAGATAAAGTGGATATTTAATAAACATAAATAACGATCGCAGTTGCCACAAAGCAGATGGTACCTCTTTTCCTTCTGGTTATCAGAGATTTTACTTTGTATAAAGTTTTCTAAACCTTTGTCGTTCCCAAGTTTTTTCGATCGGATGAAATTTTTATCAGATTCTCTCCTTCGAATATAGGCAAAATTAAACTGAAATTCAAGCATGTTTTCAAGAGAATAAATATGGTTTATTAAAAAATAAAATAACTAAAGAAGTCTTATTTAAAAAAAAAACTTCAGCGTATAAGACTTGGATTATTTTACAACAAACAAGCTTTATAAGAAGTATATAACAATAATAATTGTTTAGATAAATCTTTAGTTACCTACTTATCTATATATATAAAGGGAAGAGTCTGTCCTTCATTCGTGCTGCGAGTAAGCTAATAGACCCAGGACTACGAAATTTGCTACATACTTGCATCTAGATAACAGCCAGTGCACCTCGAAGCGAGTTTTTTCAAAATTCGAATGAGATTTTTTTTATTTTATGTTTTTTGATGAAATCGCATCAAATCGATAATTCTCTCTCATTATATCAGCAATAGTGGCAGATATCACTGTTGCCTTTGTTGCTGATATCAGCACTGTTGCCACTCGGAAAAATGAGGGCGATAATTCTGTGCAGTTTTAAAATTTAATGTTTCTCTTCGATATTGGACATTTGTCGAGAGAAGACAACGGGAAGTTGGTTAATTAATTTATTAGGATAATTAATATTTGTATCAAGGGATATTGCTTATTTCATTGTAACTGTTTTTTATATGTAATACATTTTTATTGAATTTTTCTATTGAAATTAAATTTTTATTGAAAAACTGCAGAGTAAGGTTTTAAATTTAATATCTGGTGTTCCCTTTAGGCTTTTTCGCGGTACATTTAAAAGCCAGATGAAAGTTGGCTGCATAGCGGCTACTTCATATTAAATTAAATCTAAAACCGTTCTCCAATAATTTTTACGAAAGACTTAATTGTGTGAACACCTGTGCTAAACTAGAAGCACTGAAAATGAAATGTCATCAAACCTCAGGAAAGATTTAAAATTCTGAACGAGATATTTCATTTTACATTATTAAAAGGATCAATACTAGCTTCAAATAATTTTTATAAACGTTTTTGCTTGCGAAAAATGAAAGAATGTGACTTACGGGATTTTAGAGTTAATATGTTGAAGAGCAACGGAAGCTAATAACATCTCACAAGGACATCATTTTACATTCTTTTGGTAGACAACAAAAGCATAGGATCATGCAGTTACAAGGTTCAGTTTGTAATTTGTTACTTTATTCTTCATACAAAATCATATAGTTCTGTATAAGAGATTTCTAATCTGGACCTGGATAAATCTACATGAGAGATATATTTTGCTTATGGTTTTCTGAAAGATAATTAGCTTTTTTTATTTTATTACATCTAAAACATTTTTCCACGACATGGATTCGAACTAATGATTGTATTTCGTCCAAGAGAGTATCTACTACTTAAAGTAAGCTTTTCCATTTTTTAAAGACCATACTGTTTGATTTTGTGTTCAAAGCAAGTGCTGATTTGAAAATTTGAACATCTTGAGAACTTCTTATATTCATTAAAAATGTTAGGCCTACATACCTAAGGATCGTTGTTACAAAATTTTAAATTCATGCTAACATTAATAGAATTTTTATATTTATAATATTTTATCAGTTAAGTTTATTTTGTAAATGAAGTCAGCTATGTGCAAAGCACGAAATTAGATAACTTACGTCAAAGCAATACAAAAATCCATCTTTTAATTTTATGTACTTCGTCTTCCAAGGATTCCAATAAGTAGCTTTTTTTCTTCCAGAGGGTAATTTTTCGAGGTATCCTTCTTTATTTATATATCTAGTTTGGGTTTTAAATGGCTATAAAGAAAGGTTTCAAAAATAAGATGATTTTATTCGTATTACAAGCAGATTTAATACTGCACATAAAAAATATCACAGTAAAAGAAAAGAAGTTCAAAATAAACAGTCTTACCTCATTTGGGAAGTCCAGACGATACAGCACCTTTATCAGTTCGTGCTGTTGGGGGGAAAAACATTATTAAAACGAGATAGTTTAAATTTCAAAGCTGAAATTAGATAATTAACTTTAGTGAAGTAGAATTTATTTAGCATAGTGGCTGCGTCGTAACTTAAAATCCTACATATGCAGAGTGACGTCTTGTCGTATGAGTATAGATAGCTACTGCGCTGGGGAATTGGATAGTTAATTAACTCGAAATAAGAAAAGGAACATTGGATTTTCAAGACTAGGACTTGCCCGTAAAGGTAATGGATTCAATCATACCATCGTCTTAAAATGTCCTAGACATGCTCCAAGGAGGAATACTGAAACTACTTTTGCAGTCATATGGGCGTACCGAAGAAAAAGTACATATATTTTGCAAGTATTATGTGAACATTATGTAACTGAGTAATGTCTTGCTAGTAAACGTCTTATGATAATGATCTGCAACGAAAGGTAATGCAGCAGATAAAAGGATATCTTAGACACATTGTCCTCAGTTACTTCTTAATACGTATTGGAGATGGTGATCTGATGCAAATCTTATATAATACATCATAATGCAAGATTTAAAGTTGTAAAACCGCATATTTGACATTAACATATTCTCGTGATTTCAAAAAGAAGTTTTCTGATCAACAATTATGAAGAAGATGTCTAAGATATAGTTGAAGATGATTTGATATTAACCTAAATTGCACTTTAAGCTGGTGCGGCTGCACATCGACTCCTGCGCAATTGTACAAATTAATTTTACTTCCCACGCACATAGCGGGCTCAACTACATCCATGTAAAAACATTTATGATGATGTTTAATACATGAGCAGTTATAAGAAAAATTAAGAGAATCACTGCTTTGGCATTCTAGACTATTCAAGAACTACTCCTTGTAATCAAAAAGAGTACCAATATTCTAATCAAAACGGTGAATGTAAGTTCCATAAGTACTGTAATGATCAAGAGCATCACATCTTTGTCGATGCTGAAAACATTGACAAAGATGTCATGTTAGTTGTATAATCTATGTTTTTTTCTGTCCGTTCATGATTTATCGGATTGAACATAGCTTTCAACTACTATAGTTGACACTGTCCGCTATCATTTTCATGCGATTCACATGAGCGACTAATCTACGAGCATTATAAAGATTTACTCCCAAACTCTAATAATTACAATTAACATAAATATTTGGATCCATACATACGCATTTCCTCGTATAAATGTGCCTACAGAGATCTCTTCTTTTGTAATACGATTTCAGCATGTAGCATTGGCTAATACCCCAGTCCCTTAAAAAATGACAGCTTTCAGTTTCGCGCAGAAATTTTCTTTCTTAAATTATAAAAAGTTCAAGGTATTCTTTCCATACTTTTCTATGATAAGATGAATCCGGTTCATAGAAGATTACGCGTCTGCCACCTTAGTTTTGAATGTTTCATGCTCATAGTCTTCATAAAGTCATTTCTATTATGCTATTAGGTATCGGCCAGGCATACAGAAGATTTTCTGCTCGAATCTTTGGATTCAAATATTTCTTATTCCACAATTTCTCATATTCCTTATAAATTATATGTAAAACGTTCTTTTTATGCATTATAATCGTGAGGAATTTGTAGAGTTATCAGGTTATTTATTGCTGGAGACATGAAAAATGTGCAATGCCCTCGTCGGGGCTCAATCCCCAGATCTTTAGAATAAGCGTCGAGTGCGCTTCGAGTTACACCAGGAAAGGATGAAGAAAGTAGTGTAAAAATACCTTATAAATTTGTAAACAGATTTTGGCCGCAAATGAATAAAGCAAAACAACTTTGTGCTGTAGTGTGTTGACTAAAACATTCGTTCGTAGACAACTTTTGATAGTAAAATTTCTAATGCTAAACAAACAAATATGTTCATTGTTTTATGAACGTCATATACCCACAACCCTAGAAGAAATGGATTTTTTCTACTTTCAAATGGGTCGAAAGTTTTATAATGTGGATATTAAATAGCTGAGATTTTTAAATGACTTCAGTTACCTAAGGTGCATGCTAATTGAACCTTCATCAATTGAAGTCAATTCTTAGCATCAATTGCATAAATTCCTCACATGCTTTGAAATAACCCCGAAGGTCATTGTTCTAAATTGTTCACTATTTTTCATCTCGTATTAATAAAATAATTTAATGCCATCATACTTTCTTTGAGAGAGAATTACATGATTAAATACATTAATCATAACTGATTAAATTACATGAGCATAATTAAATCGAAACTTTTATTATGAAGTAGGTCATATGTCTGAAACCGCACTTGAGATAAATTGTAGCTTCACAATTAACCCAGATCGGCCATGACCAAAAACATGTCTTCCCACATAATTACTTAAGAAAATTACGAGTTTATTTCCCTTCCTAGAATGTACGAGTTACAAAAGTGGGAAAATATGAAAGCTATTAATTAAGGGTAAAAAAAGGCAATAAATTTTCTATACCGTTCATTTACTTATAACTAATTTTATGCTACAATGCTTAGATTTCTGAATCCAAGAACTGACTAGCTGATCTTCTGTTTACACTGTAACAACATGAATAATATAGGGTCAAAACTCTTGTTGAAATGGGAAGGTAGTGACAGAAATAAGGAGTTTATAGCATTTCGTATTAAGTAACGCCCTATTTTAATGTATTCGGGGTTTTCAACTGCAAGTAAATAATACAAAAAATTAGATTTGATCTATGAAAATTGAATTTGATTTCATATTTGGATTTGAAATAATAGGTAAAAAATTTGTAACTTCACTAATTTATCAGATAACACTTATAAATTGTTAACGTAATTTACATTCTCATGACTGAAAGAAGCTTCTCAAATGGCTGGGGGGATGATACGGGCAAAACTTTATTTCGTCCTGGATTTTATTTACGGCTTTTAAATTGGCTCATAGTTTGGGTGTTTTGATGATTTTATAAATTAAACCATTAATGCAAACACCAGACAGTTTCCATACTTTACCCTACCCGTAAACTTCATCGCAGCTTTGGCAAATAGCCGTGGAATACCTTTCAGTAATTAACCACTGCGTCCAAAAGACTAAGCCATATTGGATTGGAATATATAATTTAGCTGAATCAAACAAGGGCACTGTCACAGTTTTGAATACTTAAGCTCCATCACAATTTTCACAAAAGACACTCTGGGGCTGGACTATAAGGAGTTCTGGGTCCACTGATTTTTAAGTGCCCTATGTTTTATCGGGCTAATCCAAAATGTAGTTCCTAAGAAAAAAGAAAAGAAAAAGACCACAGTGTTGTCTAATTAATGTCCTAATTGGTTTGTTTGACACTATTTAACAAAATCTGAGGTTTAACCCATTAAAAGGCAATGTGCCTTTCCGGTACGCATATTTATATGGCTTTAAAACTGTGACAACAGTTAGCATTCTTTTACTCGGCAATTATTTATGATGTATTCTAGTTATTATATTAAAATAGCTGCAAAGCGTTAACAAATTTTGACACTAGAGGATCTCAAATGTGCATAATTTCAGCGTGATTCAATGTGACACATGTGATCGTTTTCAGTATTATGAACCTAGGAGCAAGTACTGATAGTAATGTTAGTGAAATATTTTCAAAAATCATCAGTAGATAGATATAGGAAAAAGTCAAACTTGCCATTAAAATTGGATCTCGCTAAAAATGGGCCTCTTGTTTTCAAGAATAAATGTAATTAGCTTAAAATTTACTGTAAGAATTTAGCTTAAACTCCTGCAGTACCCTTCTAATAACTGTAGAAGATGAAACAATCAATATTTTTCAAATGAACATCATATTTGAATTCCGACACTTAAAGAGTTAAAAAGACAAATTTATAGAACAACCAAACCACCAGAAATATTAATATTAATTTGTAATTGACAAGTCTTATAGTCTTAATGCTTTTATTCTTATTATACTAATAGTAAAAAAAGGCAATAAAGCTGCATGAAAATTTTTAATGGATAAGTTTAAGGCTCATTTTTATTGTTTTCACTTTTGTTATATTTTTTACGGAATACGCTGCAAAATTTGACCTTCGAGATTTACGCAACATTTCTAAGTGGTTCATCACATAAATATCTTGAACAATCTTTCACTATACCGATATAAAGTTCAGAGGATGAACTTTATCGAATCTGAATTAGTCAAACCTGAGTTCGAAGCAAGGGAAACTGGTCAGCCTCTGCTAAATGCCTGTTGTCTGGGCAACTAGTTTAAGCGAATGAAGAAACAATGGTTATCAAAATATCAGTCAGTACTCATCTGAACATTTGGAAAAGGTTTGTAAGTGTATAGTGTCTGCGTGGCATGAGGCACTTAAAATAATGGCTATCCAAAAGTCTTCTCGAGAGATTTGGTGGTAGGGAAAGAATGTTGGGAAACCTTTAGTGCAATCCTCCAGGGTCTTCTCCATCGAAAGCGGAACGGAGCTTTCCTTTTATCAAGGATGTAATTCGGTCGCCCCTTTTGGTGTAACCTGGGCAACGTTAAAGGTGCCGAAACGGCTAAATGACCGATGTATATTGGCTACTCCAAACGAGTGCATTAATCCATTAATAGAGTCCGCCATTTTAAACAACAACAACCTACCCATATGAGATTACAAATATACACAACAAAAGTGTACCGTTTTACCTCTTTGAATTACATTTTTTTTTCTTTTACGAGAAGTAAATTTAACGCCGGAAAGCAAAATATGGCTACAAAAGCCTTGGTATAATAGTATTTCGAGTTATCAAAATGATTCGTCTGATGCAAACATGATTTACCATATGACCGATTCTATGGTCCTGCCTCACTGTGTCACCTGTCACCCGCTTTATTGAAAGAGATGTTAAATTTCACCATGACAAATTACATTCTGTAAATTCTGCGAGATATTATATTATTTAAAGGAGAAACGGCATAGGCGTCTTTGAAGAAAAATTTTTCAGTTTTTTAATATACTTGTAAATACCAAAACACGATTTCGGCATAGTTCTCAGAAAGCCTGT